AAAGACCGTGATCAGGTGGTCTGCGTCTTTATTATCTTGCTTTACTGAGAAACCTTCACAGAACTAATAAGACTTTCTTTTTCATTGTTTGTCAATTTTATTGTTCCTGAGTTATGGTCACCACCATCAATTCCGTAAGCAGATGCTCTTGGCATATCTTCTTCTTATGGTGGTATTTTAGTTAAATAATGCAATAAATGTGACAAATTTTAAGGTGTAAGTTTACGAAAATCGGGTGGTCCCACTTTCGATCTTGTCTTGATTTTATTACTCTATAACTTTTGTATAGACCACTTTATTGATAGATGGATAGATGGTATGACCAAAAAGTAAGTTTAAATTTTCCTAAATACATATGTAAAATATAGTCTCATTCAGGTCATGCAGAATTTAATGCCCTAAAACTTTTAATGTGAGAAGTAACCATTTACATTGTTTTCTTTATATTCAGTTGCTTACGATTTGCAAAAAAACAGAAGAGAAACATCGTAGGGGATAAATTGACGGGCCTGTATTCATATCGTACGGGCTCTAGGTGAAATGCTTTCACTATGCAGTATGCCCGGCCTTTTTTTATATTTGCCCTTCTCGCCCACAGAATACGACACATGAATCCGAAGAGCAGGAAGAGATGTTGCGAACTGCACGGCGACATCTTGACCCGTTGTGGATCGATCGAGATCTATATGCGAACGACGAAGGCTAATCGGCCATTGGTTAACGGCGACTTCTCAACGTAGTTGAGTCGATGGCTTCTAAGCGAAGAATCGGACGAATTCTGCGCGACGAGTACACATATTGCGCTTCTGCGGCTCATGCGCGCACACGTAACAAATAGGAATATATACAGGCAAGGCAAAACGGTTATGTACAGGGTATTTTCATTAAAGGAAAAACGAAAGGATATTTTATTTTAGTTTGGGGACGCAACAATGTCTTTCATCAATTTAGGCGTCCATACAACCATAAGTACAAAAAATCATCAAAGAACTCAATATTAGACTACTCAAAAGAACGCTGTAGGCTATCGGTTAGGCCTGGACTAACTTGCAAGTAAGCTATCGTGTAGGAAATTTTACAAGGAACATTTTTTGTTTCAAAAGTTTTTCTCTAAGTCTGCTACATTTCGAGATATTAACGAAAAACTGATTTCGGGGGGCAAAAACGTGCCACAGCTCGATGAGCGGCGCAGTTGGGGGTCTGCACTTTTAGTACGTTATTCGGGACACCTAACCTGAGACATTTCAACAAAATCCAGATTTCCCCCCCAAAATGTTTAGACCGATGCACTTACCGCCTGTACTAATAGCTAATGCTAATAGATATGGTTCACTTAAACTATTTTACGTAAAAAAGCTCTTCCAAATTAGTACGCATAACTATTAAGTTTTTTTAAGAAATGTACACCAAACAAAATAAAATAAGTACATCTCATCACTATTAAAACAATAATGTAAAGTCAATCCAATCCAATTGCGTGATTTATTTATTGACAATTAATTACCAATAAATGTATAATGGCCGTTTGCACAGACCAATTTAAGTGAAGCTTAGCTTAAGCGTACCTTAAAATGATCAGGAGTAGGGGAAACCACATGAGTGTCAGGAGAAGAAGAAGAACCAAATAAACTTAGTATTGAAACACGAGATTATTGAAGAAAGAAGAAGAATCACATACGCATTTTAGGAAGAGATTTGTCCGTATTCATAAACTCGACTTTTGATCTGGCTTATTCAATAGTACTGATTTTGAAGAATTTTTCTACTTTCTTCTAAGAGTAATGGAACGAAATATTAAAGGCCTTATTCACGTTCCCGCACGCTTTCCTCATCATGATTCCTTTATTTTACATCCACTCCATCTTCGCGCCTCCTTTAGGCCTTTTTTACACTTCTATTATATCGCTTTACCCCACTTTACATACATCTCTATCACACCTTACTCACATGTCCCTCGGGATCCTTGCAAGTCTAGTTCACATATCCTCTCTCTCACTGACAATCACGTTCTTTTAACATCGCCTTCACGTCTCCTTCAGGATTTATTATTCATCATTTCACATCTCTGTCATCCCATTTTCATTGTACGTGCTCCAAACCTCCCTCAGACCTCCTTCAATACCTCTTTATGTTTTTTTTGTATCATCTATCACCTTTTATTCACATCTTCACACTTACTCCAAAGCTTCCTCACCTTTACCCTTCCACAATGCTTCACGTCACCTCCATAACTAAATATTCACTGTTCAAATAATCCTAACTTCGCAATGAATCGTTTCACACCTCACTCCATCCCACATTCTTACCAAAGTAAAAACATAAAATTCAACGTTCCACTTCCACCACCACCCGGCCCCCTGTCCCATTTTCACCGGAAATTGATCATCCCTTTGGTACTTTCTACAAAACTGCTAACCTCAACAGGCATTCGCAATTTTATTTGCAAAATTTAGTGTTTCTTGCTGCAACAGCCGATTTTGTGATCTTAATTTCCGAACTCAAACTCAAGCATTTTACTTGTACGATTGTCTCAGCTATAAGGCCCGTAAAGTAATAAGATTAATCTTAAACCAGTATATACGTGGTCACTCGCGGCCGACGAAAGCGCATTCTTTCTGCACATAATCAGTAATAACTCTGGAAGGAAATGGCTAACCCAAAATGGTATAATAAGAGACGAATGTACTCGTATATTCAAGTCTTTAAAGAACGTTCAACGAGTTTAAACGTTGCAAGTGCTTTAAAGACCAATTATACCCACACGTGTTTCTTATAGTATTTTTATTATACCTGCAATATATTTTAAAAAGAAGAGAAATACAATGAAATCATATTGACGTTATTATACTCGAATACATGTCTAATTAAGTGGGCTGTGTTCGTAATTCCATTATTCCCATGGTAATTTCACTTGACGTTTGTTTATAAAGATCACAGTCTTTGTCAATAGAACGATTTCGGTTGAAACTAGTTGTCAGGTAAACTCCTGACTTGACTTTCCGACTACTTTTATAATAGAGTCATTGCAATTATTATCTTTGGTCATAGTATAACATTTAGAAAATGCCCTCTAGCGCCTTTATTTTGAACCCGACGCAAAAAGTGTAGAAGTTTTTTTGTAGATCTCATCAAGATCCTTCTTTTTTGTAATTAACATTTTTCACTTTGATGCTTACCTACTTTTAGAGGAAAATGCAAATTAAAAATATAAAATAAATAGTTTAACTTTTCAATTAAAAACTTCTCAAAACCAAAGGAACTCACAAAAAACTGTAATGAATTTTTTGTAGAGTTTTTTAAGCCATTTTGGCCAGTGTAAGTTAAAAAAAGAAAAAAAATTTTTTTCAAGCCGTTATGGATCTTTTAAACTTTTGACACCCTCAGCAACCATGAAGATGGTTACGGATCAAAACCAAAATAGGACGTTTTCGATTCCCATACCACCCTATATCCACCCCAAATTTAGTCCAAATCTGTTCAGGGGTTTTTTAGTTATCGTGGTCACAAAAAACGAACCACCCACACAGACGTCAAGCTAAAAATCACTTTTTTGGAGTCTGTGTGCTTCAAAACGTCCAGAAAACGCAATATTGGCATATCGAAAATTTATCACGATTACAATACTTTCCTTTATATACATACTTTGTATGTAGTCGGAAAGTAAAAATTAAATGGTTTGTAAAATCTAAAGAAAAGTTGGTAAGTGTAAAATCCAAATCCAGGAAAAGCTTATTATAAAGCATATAACAAGTTGTTTTCGTGGATCAATAGGAAGGTACTTACGAACAAAGTCTTAAATGCACCAATAATGCTGGCATATATGAAGGACATGTCAAAGGTATTTAAATCTTCTATCCTTTGGTGCATTCATTCGAAACTTCAAACAATGTTGTGATTAAAAAGTGGAACAGATTTGGAAGCATACCCTAAATTACGCGGGCTTGTGAAAGCTGCAAACAAAAGCCAAAGAAATGTTCTGCATTTACAGAAAGCGACCTAAGAACATTTTTTATTTCAGTCCCAGATGATAGTTTGACTTTGTTCGTAAGTAGCTTCCTATTCATCCACGAAAACAACTTTTCATATTATTTATAATAAGCTTTACTGGATTTGGATGGCAATCATGGAATTACGAACACACAGCTCACTTAATTAGACATGTATTCGAGTATAGCATCAACATGATTTCATTGTATTTGCCTTATTTTTAAATTATATTGCGGGTATAATGAAAAATACTATAAGAAACACGTGTATAAGTGGTCTTGAAAGCACTTGCAACGTTGCAACTCGATTATACACTTGTCTCTTAATATACTGTAACGTGATTTATAAATTCGGGTTCGATTTATATCAATATCTATTAAACAAAACTAAAACACTATAAAAACTGTACAATTTATATCGACTATTTATATTACACACTTCGCAATTTATATCAGATTTTCGCGCTCAATGTTTCGTCCGTACTCGATCTCGTTCGGTAGTAAACTGCCTGCGATGTTCGGTCCGCAACCATTTATACACGCAAGCAATGTAAGTCCAGAACACTCGCGTAATTACCAGATACGTTGCAAACATTCCCACTATCGCGCGCCTAGAAAATTCCAGAGCGCCAAAGGCGACGTCATGTCTGGAGCGTTTCCGTTACAATACTATTATCGTTCTGGTCTCGAGGCTGTGCTAGACCGTGTAAGAAAGAAATCACAACGAAAAAGCTTAGGCTGGAGGACTAGTAGTGGTACAGACGGACAAAGTGCGGACATTAGCTTGGAAAATGCGCTAAAAATTACAATTCTACTGGTTTTTGTAAAACAATTTTTAATTGAATGACATACTTCCTTAGATTTTTTTGCAACGTAGAACTAAACGGGCATTTATTTAACATAAAGTCATTGGAAATCTGTCAAAGAGTTATTTATACATAGTCAATTACGTCGATATTAATTACTTTTATGCTTTGCAATAAGCCCAAAAATAGACGAAACGCGTCTCTGAATAATTGCAATTTATGTCTACGTTACCTAATTTTGCAACGTTAATAAGTGGACGTTTTAATTAGTGGCGCCCTCATTCTAAATGATTCTGTTACGTGGATGGTCTAATTTAATTACAAAGAATGTAACTCGTCTCCCTTAGTTCATTTTTCAGTATGCACTGCTAAAATTAAGTGCGAAAAATGTCGTCCACAAGTAAAAAGTGAGTAATTGGTTCGTATATAAATACAAAATTAATTATTATTCTGTAGGTCAAATCCCGACGAGATTATATGGGAGGTTGGCGACGACAGCAAAAGTTGGTGGCAAAAGAGAAGCGGATTGGAAAGAAAGTTGATTATTTCGTTTGGAGTTACGGTCGTAGTGTTTATAGGAATATTTATTTTTATGGGTTTAAGATCTTCAGGTAAAGTATACTGTAGCTACCACGGGGATAACTCAGAATTTTAGAAGTGCAAGAGAAAGTGGAATGCAGCACGAATGAGTGTTTAACTTCCGCTTCGCAAATCGTAAATTTGATAGACACTAATGTAGAATACTGCGATGATTTCTATCATTTCGCGTGCGGTAAAAGTTTAAAGGAAACTATCGCAGAGGATATAGACGAAGAGATTTTGCAAATGCTTCGAGAGCCGATATCAAGCGGAGACCACTTCATGGTAAAAAGTCAGAAGGCGCTTTTTCAGGGGTGTATGAGTCTGGATGAATTGGAGGAAGAATCCTTGCCAGTTATACAAAATTTGATCAGAGAGCTGAACGAATGGCCAGTGGTTGTTGGGCATAGGTGGCGTGATAAGCAATTCGACTGGGCAGACATGGTGGTCAAGTTACGAAAAAAAGGATACGATCATGACATGCTCCTAAATGTTAGGCTAGCTACGAAAGATGGCAAAGTTATTCCAGTGGTAAGTATCTCTCTCAAACAACCACTCTTCACTAACCGACGCCTTTCAAGGTAACTGCCCCTGTGGTTATCACGCCAGAACGTGAATACACTCAGCTATACATTAAATACATGACCGACATTGCCCAACTGTTCGGAGCTGAGCCAAATCGTACCGCTATGGAAATGGAGAAGGTATTCGACTTCATGGAAAAATTGCGCGAAATAGGAGAAAAATTTTTGACGTTTGATAATGATACTCGAGTTAGTATAGCCGATTTCCAAGAGGAATACGACGATATCGACTGGTACAAATTCATCTATAATATGGTTACTCCGCATAAACTAAGCGCAAAGGACCTCGCCAGTTTTCCCAACCCTGAGTTTATGGACGCTTTTAGTTTGCTTATGACGAAAACACCCCAAAGGTACGTTGATATTTTGTAACGCCTACTATCATCCATTGTTTTAGAATCCAAGCCACTTATATCATTTGGACGGTTCTTGAGGAACTAATACCGTTTTTACCTAAAGCTTATCGAGATATACAAGATAATTATCTGTGCGCGTCAGGAAATGCGTTCGCGGGAATTGAACGGTCAGAAACCTGTCGGGAAATAGTCAACGGCATGTAAGACGTTATCCTTACACGCATTCGTACCGTTAGTTCTTTTCAGATTTGTACCAACACCAACAGATATCCTCTACATGCGAAATCATTTGTCAGAATCGAAAAGAGAAAAAATCGCCGATCTCTTCGAAAATGTCAAATCTCACACCATATCATTTTTTGAAAAAACGCAATGGCTAGACGAATCCGATGTAGATCACGTGATCAGTGCGTTTAATGACACCACGGCAATCATTGGACTAGACGGGGACTATTTGGAAGACTCCATTTTTGAAAAGCACACTATCAGCCTGACTGTAAGTATAATGACGCCGCTCAACAATTTAATGGAGAAAGTATAATAGAAACGTGGGTACGGAGGCAGCTTTCTCAATATGTATCTTAATCAAAAAAAGAAAGCATTCGAAGTGATAGTACGGGCAGAAGATAAAGGCGAAGTTCTTCTACTGGACCAAATGGTCACATTCACATCTCCATTTATGCACTCCAAGACGAATAAGATAGGTGAGTGGTTTAACAAAGTGAGCTTTTCTTACTTATACTTGCAGTTTTACCAATCGGGATGCTATCGAGAACGTTTTACGACGTTGAAGGCCCAGCGTATTTGACATATGGAGCGTTAGGTAAAGCAATAGCATACGAACTTGTTCAAAATCTGATCTTCGAAGATCGAGAGTTTGAATGGTCAAACTCGTCTGTGACACGGTACGTGGAGAAGATAAAATGTATGTTAAAGGATTCCATGGGAGACAAAAAAGATAACGTATTCACCTGTACAGTTAATGCCGCTTGGTAATCATCTCCGTTTCAGGATACGATGGAATTTACGGAAGATGGGGCGTTCGCCAACTTCCTCGGAATCAAAATCGCCTACGATGCGTATCAAGGATGGATCACAGAAAATGGAGAAGAGGACACACCTGTAGTGCTCGACTATTCCGCAAATCAGTTGTTTTGGATCGCTGCCTTGGTTGACGAGTGTTATGACAAGAAGGGACTTCCATACGTGCATTTTCAAAAGTTTTATGAACGAAATACTCCGATGATCTACAATACAGACTTTATAAATGATTTTGAGTGTTCTCCAGAATCAAAAATGTACCCAAGTGATTTATGTGACATTTGGTAACATTTCTGTATATAAAGCTCAATAAACCTTTACCTTTATACTCGTGTTCATTATTCGTTTCTGGACAACTACCTAACTATCTAAGTGTTCTCACCGAAACAGCATATCCAGTGTTGTTAACCTTTCTGACACGTAACTGTTGGTTGTAGGTACAGCAGTGGTGAATAAAAAATTGGGCTAAATGATACCAGACCGTAATTTCACACGCTGAAAAAACCACGATCATTTCGCAACCTTCAACAAGAATTAAACAAGAACAACCTCTACATCCTCTCCATTTAATGTAGTCGCCTACATAATTTGCACATTTAATTGAAACACAGGAACGGTAATTCGTGTATTTTCACAAATTAAAAATAATTGAATATCACCGCAAACGCCACCAACACTTTTAAATACACATTGCGTGTATTCTTCGAACAAGTTATGGACCAAAAGTAAGTTACGTATGTAAGTGATCGATGCTACAATTTTTCCTTTGCAGGAAATCGATTTTCGCGAAAGAACCGTGGTGGAAACGTAGATCGAAGTTAGAAAAAAAGTTGGTGCTCTCTCTTCTTGGAATAGTGATTGCGTTTATAATATTCATAGCGCTTGTGTGTGTTAAATATGTGAGTAAGTAATAACGAATACATTTAGTGCTAGATTTCGGATTTGCTTCAGTTCCAGAACGACCATGCCATAGCTCCCATTGCTTACTGGCGGCTTCGCAAGTAATAGGTTCTATAGACACATCCGTCGATCCGTGCGATGATTTCTTTACGTTCGCATGTGGGAAATTTATCGAGCAAATTCATGGCGATATTGAGGCGACGTCCATCAAGGCCTTGGAGGAAAAGGTCGCACGACAAGTTGCCGAGCTGATTAAAGAGCCAATTAAAGAGGACGATCATCCGTTTGTGAAAATTCAAAAACAGCTCTTTCAAAATTGCATGAACGAGACGGAAGAGGAACAAGAGAACGCGCTGAATATTTTTAACGAAACTATTCGCGAGTTACAGGGGTGGCCTGTTGTTGAAGGATTCGAATGGGACGAACAGCTCTTTGATTGGAAACGCGCCATTTATCAATTGAGGCGTAAAGGGTTACCTTATGCCATTTTCTTTGATGTTCAAGTCATGCCGTGCCTTGTGAATAAGACCCGTAACGCCGTTTATGTTTGTAGTTTGTCGCAAGTACCACTAATGTACTAAAGATTTTTTTCAGTTAAGCGAACCGTTTGTTATAAGGGTTGAAGAGGAACATAAGGAATCTTATAAGAGATACATGGTCGAAGCCGCCGTTGCCATGGGGGCTGAGGAAAAATTGGCAATAGTAGAATTGGAGAAGGTTTTCGATTTAATCGATAGAGTACATAAAATTGTGAAGGAGAACGATAGACCCAATAATTATACTATGGCTGACGTAAAACGTGAGTTATTGAAGGAACGGTACACAATTGAAGAATACCAAAAGAGACACGAAGCACTCGACTGGTTATCGTTTATCAATGGCATCTTAAAACCTGCCGGAAAACTCACCAAAAGTGATTATGTTTATTTTCCCACAGAAAAGTTTGTGGAATCTCTCCTTTCACTTTTGGATAAAACTCCTCGAAGGTACGTACACGATTGATAACATCCACTAAATATTACCATTTAGAATCCAAGCTAACTACATAATGTGGAACGTTTTGGACAGTACCATTACTTACTTAAACAAAAAGCTACAACAGATCGAGAATAACTACCTCTGCGTGGCAGATAGGTCGCTACAATCGAACGATAGGTACAAATTTTGCAAAAGAGTTATTAATCGAACTTTCCGTCCTTCACCGGTATATATAAATTACGCAAGAAAATACTTGCCCGTAGAAAAAAGGAACAAAGTTAAAGAGATGCTGACGAATATTAAAGGTGAGTTTACGGAACTACTAAAGCAATCTTCCTGGCTTGACACCGAAAGCAAGGAGAAAGCTTTGGAAAAAGCGCAATCAATGACCGGGGTTATCGGCACCCCGGGTGACTACTTTAACGACGATATTTACGATACTTTTAAAATGGAGCCAAAGGTAATTAAATGTCGCGGTCAGTATTGCAACCACAATTTTTGTAGTTTGCAGAAGATGTCACCGAAAGTAATTTTTTCGAAATAATGCTGCAGAATGCGAGACACCAGGTTGATTTGTCGTTCGCTCGCATTCACAAACCGAACGATGACGCCTATAATGACATAGTATATCACAGAGCGGTTGCTACAGTTAATGCAATGTACTCGCCTAGTGACAATGCCATGGGTAAGTATAAGAAGCGAATTTCCTCGACTAAGAAGAATACCTGCAGTTCTTCCGGTGGCAATACTCCAAGGTATCTTTTATGACCAGGACAGACCGCAATACCTTAACTACGGTGCACTCGGTTCTATAATCGGGCACGAAATTACCCATGGCTTTTGTAAAGACGCGAGCACGTTCGACAAGGATGGAAATGAAGTGGAAAGCGTTTGGTCAAACGCCACGGCCGAGGCATTTGAAAGACAAATTCAGTGCATCATTCAGGACGCCGAAGATTTCGACGTCGAAGATACGGAGGCGACGGTAAAACTTGAACACACAAATAGCGAAAATCGCGTTTCATTTTAGATTAATGGAACACTAACCCTGGAGGAAAATATCGCAGACTACACCGGCGTCAAGGTCGCGTATGCGGCGTACAAGAATTGGGTACGTGTCCACGGCGAAGAGCCCCAACTGACCGGAGTTGGTTACACGCCGTACCAGCTGTTTTGGGTATCGTCAATCTCGCACGAGTGTTACCAGCTGAGTGGAAAATCGCTCGAGCAGAGTCTGAAACGAGATTCGCACGCCTTAAATGTGTATCGAGCTACCGCGCCCATACGTAATAGTGCCGAGTTTGCCAAGGATTTCAACTGTCCGTTGAATTCAAAAATGAATCCACCCGATAAATGTCAGATCTTTTAGAAAATAAATTCGATCCTTCTTCGCCTCTACCTCATAACAAAAAATCATCATTTAGCTCTCATTACCATCCAGTAAAATAGTGCCATGATGCTACTGCACCCAGTTTACCGCGATTCTCTTCATAGTCGTAGCAAGAACCATTAAACAAAATAGTCAATATAGCGTTTTGGATGTTATGACAAATCAGAGTACTGTTTAAATCAAATTTCTGTAATCATGTTTGCTGGTTTCTTAACGGTGATTCCCAATAAAAGAGCCTTTATACTTTTTGTGATTTTTTTGTACTGATTCTATTTGAACCAATTCGGTTTGTTTCATAAAGTGCATCTATAATAAAATAAAGCCCTAAAGCGTATCTAAAAAAACGGCAGAGCACCTCGGTGTGACCTTATGGGATTTGATCTATTTTCAATAGGCTTATTACATGTGGTATATAGGTCAACTGTGCAAAGTTTGAACAAAATCAGTCCAAGCGTTTGACAGTTATCGTGTTCACGGACGGACAGACTGACACTATCGGCTCCCCTATAACGCTTGCATCACTTTGCTCTGCCGCTTAATAAAATAGCTCTGTAGGAGCGTACGCAAGACAATACACCGGTCCGGATGTTTGGGTTACCTCAAAATTGGAACACAGGTGCCTTTTTTGATTCTTATTGACATGCAGGCACAGTATTTAACATTGATTTTGGAATAGAGACGGTTAATGGTTCGTCTCATTTGCCACAACCTACAAATGAAGTCTGCAGCATGATCTGCATATTTTAAAACAAAACCAGTCACGCATTTTCTTAATAAAATCCACATTCTGCTTCCTTTTGTGGGTGGCATCAATTTTGCAAGCAAGGACATACTTAACTATATCATAATTAAGTACTGCAGTTGTCCAATCTAAGTTAAGATGCCTGAAAGGTAACAATTTGACTTTTTCTAATTAACAACACTCTTTTTCAAGAAAATCGAACAAGTATAAACTATTATTATACATTTTACCTCTCGGACTGGTGTTAATGGTACTTTCCATTGTTGCTAGTAGATTAGCGCATGGTAAATAAGCATTTTGATTTTGAAAACACGTTTAACGCCCCTATTTAACAGAACATCCGACGTGTCAAACGCAACTGTGCATTTCTGCCGCTCATGAGATAATTAGCTCAATTGATCCAAAGGTAGACCCGTGCGAGGACTTCCTTACGTTCGCCTGTGGAAATGCCATACGAAAAGGGCGTGAAAGGAAACTTGTCAAAATTAAGCAAGAAATAAAAACCGACCTAGACACTTTAATGGAAGGCCGAGTTGGTGCCGACGACAACGTCTCGGTAAAAAGGCAGAAGAATCTTTTCCAAGTTTGCATGAACGAAACTGGCTCAGAGGAAGAGTCGTTGGATGCTTTTAGAATGTTACTGTCAAATTTCAATGGTTGGCCGGTTGTTGTTGGTGATCATTGGGACGGGAAATCGTTTGACTGGATATCAACAACATATAAACTGCGAGCATATGGACTGCTGTACGTCTCCTTCTTGGATTTTGGAATTGATCCGGACCCTGTGAATGGGTCACGGTACCTGCTTCATGTAAGTATGGCAAAACATGGCACTTGCAGTTAAACTAATGCTTCAGATCAAAGAACCATTCGTAGTCGCTCCTGAAGAAGAGCACAAAATTTCGTATGTAAATTTCATGATAGCCAGCGTGGTTACTTTTGGTGCAAACAGAGCGCTGGCCAAAAAGGAAATGTCGGAAGTGTACGAGTTTACAACGAAGCTTTACCATGTAAGTTGCCAAAGCGAATTTGCCTGACGACCTGAATTTAGGTCACCACCGAGAACGACTGGGATACCATCGACGACATAAAGGACAGTAGACATTCTGTAAAAGATTTTCAAGCCAAAAGTAATCGTACAGATTGGCTAAAACTAATTCGGCAAATTGTGGAGCTTGGTGAAGACGACCATGTTTTATTTCCAAAACCCAAGTTTGTCAACGCACTATTTAATTTACTAAACTCCACGCCCAGAAGGTACCTAAATGAAAAAACTAACTCTAGAGTAATAACGTCCTGTACAGAGTTCAAGCGAATTATCTCTTCTGGAACCTTTACGAGTCTCTGGTGCACTTCTTCCCCCAACGTTTTCGACAATTGGAACAGAACTACAATTGCCAAACCGCGCCCTCTACCGTCCCAAAGACACGTGCCGATTTTTGTCGACGCATTGTGCAACTCAGCTTCGATGTAATCCCAACAGACATGCTTTACGCCAAACAAAAGATGACAGGAGAGTTAAAATCGAGCGTAGAAGAAATGGTGAAGAATATCAAAGTAGAAATTATCGCTCTTCTAGAACATTCGGGCTGGATGGATGAAATAAGCGTTGACATGGCCGTACGAAAAGTGAATGCAGTCACTAGCGTCATAGGTCTAAGTGAAGATCTCGACATCGTCAATCAACGTTACAGTAACAGTACCTTGCAAGTTAACGGAGACAGTGGTTGCCTTTTGAATGTTTACCTGGAAAGCAGAAGGGCACTCACTGACACAATGTACGCGCGCATTAACACATTCACATACAATCACGAATTAGATAAGTTCGCTAATAGTGTAAACGCCGCGTATCTTCCGGAATTGAACATAATAGGTAAAAATTCACTCCAAGTACTTACTTAATCAGACTATTGTAGTACTCCACGCTGGAATTTTACACGACGACATTTTCCATCCCCACCAAAAGAGTTATCGCAACTATGGAATGTTAGGTTCGATCATTGGTCATGAGCTAGCTCACGCGATTTCAGATGGAAGCCTTTGGACGAATGAGACGAAAAGTTCATACGAAAGAGTGGCGAAGTGTTTCTTGGACCAAGTGGATAATTTCAAACTTCAAGGCACCACATTTCAGGTTAGAAATGATTAGCCACTGGCCCAATATTAAAACCACTTGTATAGATGAACGGAACCCGTACGTTAGAAGAAAACATAGCCGATGCTGTGGGAGTGAAGGCCTCTTTCAACGCCTATCGAAAGTGGGTGATCAAACATGGGAATGAACGGCGGTTAGTTGGACTGGACTATACCCCAGATCAGCTATTTTGGATTTCGGCAGTGTCTCAATACTGCTATAAACTCAGCGACAAGCAGCTGGGACAGGTTTTGAACCGCGATAATCACGCTTTAAACATATTTAGAGCAGTGAACCCTTTGAGAAATAACAAAGACTTTGCGTCTGCATTTAAGTGTTCCTTGGGATCGAAAATGAATCCAAATGTTCAATGTAAAGTGTATGGATGAGATTTTGATGGGTGGGAAGAAGTGAATCATGTTGAATATATTTTATTTTTATTTTTGGACTTTATTTTTAAGTGGGCGGGGTTTAGCCAAGGCTGTTTCACCGATCCAACCCGCTGTACATTAATTAATTAATTTTCCGCTTATTTAAAACAAATATTGATACACACCGTATAGCTAAGCAATATTTGAATTCCTACAAAGGAATATTATAATTGATTACGTCAAATAAGCATCCGTCCCAAATTCTCATAGAAAATCAACCAATACTAAAAATTAAAGTAACGTGCAGATATCGCTAGAATCAGTGGTTTCTAGTTACAAATGATGCGGCTCTCCCTTGCAAAAGGCTCCCTCCAAGAAATATTGAAAACTGGATCGCTTTACAATGTAAGCGTCTCAGATTATTTAACTACGACTTCTTCGATATGAGATCATCGAACATTGTGCGTCTCTCCATGTATCTTTATATGATCGCAATTTAAGAATGGCTCGTTACTTGTAAGTTAAGTATGCGTACATACAGCACTAATACGAATGGTCTTCACCGGAATTTCGTTTCCATTAAAACTGCGTTACGTACTGTTTTTCCGACGTTTTATCCGCAGAACTGTATACAGGGGTTTCAAATATGACCCTACTCCAATTTAGACCCGAAAACATTTAGGTATGATGGTCAGAGGTTTCACTAAGATTTCAATATTAAGTTTCAGTAACTGAGTATTGAAACCGTAATAATGTCCCTGATGTTGTTATATTTTAGAGATCGAAAAGCGTCCCGTATAATGATGGGCGATATACTCTATTGCTAGAGTCTTCATTTTGCATTTGCCAAATAAGTATTGAAATCGCCTGCAGTTATTTAGGCTATGTTGAACCCCCTATATAATTTAACGAATGTATGAATTCATCATAAAATACTATACCCTTATACCTTCTGAAGAAGTAGAGGTATCACCAATGGGAATAGCTGCCCGAAAATATATCGTGAATGTTAGTCTAAAATGACTATAATTATACACTGTGTCCAAGATCTCCGAAACCATAGAAGATCCGACGATGGTCAAATTACGGAAAAGTTGCGCTTTTAAACAGTTATTATCAAACCAGTAAATTCCGATTACTTCCGAAGATATTCCAGAAAAACCGTAATTTGTCGATTTGGTTTTTATTTATTTTTTTGAAAAACCACTTTCTAATTGCCAGTTTTTGAGATTTACAAGACGGCGTTGATAGATTTTCAATACAACGTTTCGTTTCGGAGCAATCATCATCAACTTTATTTTCTTATATGTCCCGTAAAAAAGTGTGCACTGTATTGAGTAGTATTTTTGATTATGAGTACGACTTACGACACACAGAAAAATCAAAGGTTGGAAACTGTTGGTTTCAACCGGATGGTGCACCGGCGCACAACATTTTCTGGAAAATGGAAAATTTGTCCGATAGATATTCTCGTACGATTAGGGCGTTGTGCGCGGGTGCACCATCCTGGTAAAACCTACAGCTTCCAATTTTTGATTTTTGTGTGTGCCGTATGCCGTTGTACTCATAATCAAAAATGCTACTCAATCCAGTATGTACTTTTTTAAAGGGCCATTTAAAAAAATAAAGTTGATTTCTCCGAAACGAAACGGTGTCTTGTAGGGCTCAAAAAGTGGCAATGAGAATTTTGGTTTTTCTGACATACCTTCGGAAGTAATCGGAATTTTCTGGCTTTGTTTAAAACAAACTCTTTAATTGGGCATCTTTTCTCTAATTTCATCTTCGTCGTCTCTTCTATGGTTTAAGAGATCTCCATGGTATAGATCCTTATCTTGGACACAGTATATAACTCCGGCTGTCTAATGTATTGTATGAAGCTCTTCAAGAGTCGAACCAATGGAGAGCTATATATAATACATATGAGAAGTATCGCGCTTAGGTACATACCCAAACAATGGAGAGAGACATAAAAACTGGCTTCGATTTACCCTCCCTTCTAGCTATTAACTGCACAAGAACGTTAAAACCACACGATTTTTCCTTTCGATTTTGGTTTGTTTTTCTAATTGCACAGCACCCAATAAATTTCCACTTCGTAGAAGCCTTTGTTTTAGGTGGTCTGATACATTATTGATAAAGGCAACATCCAACCCCAAAAAATGTTCAAGATACCTTCTCTTAAGGCTGCCGTTATTTACAGTCCCTAGTCCTCTCCAATTTCCGTTTTAAACGTTTGCGTAAATTAACAAAGAAACTACTGAGTGAGTGCCATAGTCACTATATTTCACATATTGAACACTCTCTATCCTCAGATCCGAAACAGTTTTGGTCATTCATTCGATCAAAGAGCGGTAGATCGCGTATTCCTGGTGAAATGTGTTATAACAATGCTATTTTTAACAATCCACAAACAATCGTTGACGCCTTTGCGACATGTTTTTCCAGTGTGTACAAACAATCCTTACCGGCCTCCGATAATGACTCCTTTCATGGTAACCTTAACAATCTAATCTTGATTGATCAAATATCTGAAGATGATATAATCTGTGGTATTAAAAAGCTCAAGAATAAATATACGGCTGGTTCGGACCAAATTCCGTCATTTTTTATAAAAGATTGTGGCAACGTATTAACTCGTCCACTTTTACACATTTATAATTTGGCTTTGAAGCAGTGTATTTTTCCCGACATATGGAAAACTGCCAAGGTGTGTCCAATATTAAAATCCGGAACAAATTCGAAAATTGAACTATCGACCGATTTCCATCCTCTGCAATTTCTCAAAATTATTTGAGATAGTACTTTACAACAAGTTGTTCCATCAAATACAACAGCAGCTGTCGCAACACCAACATGGATTTGTTAGGAAAAGGTCAACCATATCGAATCTTGCAGCATTCTCCCAAATTTGCTCAGAAATTATTGACGAACAAGGTCAAATGGATGTCATTTACACAGATTTTCAGAAGGCATTTGATCAAATTGGCCATGCTATAATTTTAAAGAAATTATCTGATTATGGATTTTGTGTTGGTCTAGTAGATTTCTTAAGATCATACTTGTTAAACCGAACCCAATATGTCTGGTATAATGGCTATGGATCTGTACCATTTACTGCAACCTCAGGTGTGCCCCAAGGATCCAATTTGGGTCCTCTACTGTTTTTAATATTTATTAATGACTTGCCCCGTCGTATATCGTCGCATAAGCTGTTGTTCGCCGCCGATCTTAAAATTTTTTCTCAGATCACCTGCATAGCCGATTGCATTAAACTTCAGCATGATTTGGACTCCCTACAGGATTGGTGCCGATCTAACAAACTAAATTTGAATGTTTCGAAGTGCAAGACTATGACTTTCTCTCGTAAACGTAATCAACTGCACTACGACTACACTCTAGCTGGCACTGTATTGGAAAGAGTGAAAATAATCAAGGACTTAGGAGTGTACTTCGACGGTGCCCTAACATTTTCCTACCACATAAACGACATGGTAAAACGCTCAACTCAGACATTGGGATTTATTATTCGTTCAAGCTCCGCTTTTACCGATACGTATACCATGAAGGCTCTCTACACATCCTTGGTTAGGAGCAAATTAGAGTATGGGGTGTTGATTTGGTACCCCCTGTATGTAAAATACGATGAAGCAATTGAATACATCCAGCGGCGTCTTGTTAAATACTTATGCTACAGGAAAGATGGAGTCTATCCACCCAGGGGATTTTCTCAGCAGATAATGTGTGAACGGTTTGAGCTGCTGCCCCTTAAAACTAGAAGAAAACGTCTCTGCCTATCATTTCTCTATAATATCTTAAATAATAAAATTGATTGCCCGTCTGTGCTCGGGAAAATTGGATTCTGCGTCCCACGTTTGTCCTCAAGATGCCCAGCACCATTTTGCCTACCAAGATGTAAGACCAATGTGCTTCAGAGATCTCCAGTGCATTTAATCTGCTCATTATTTAATGACTTATCCGCGCCAGTAGACGTTTTTCATGAAGGTTTGGGTCGGTTGTTGCAATCATTAGAATTATAATTTATTTTCTTTATTAATATCTTGAAGTGTTTTTTTTTAAATTAATTACTAAACAACTCGCATGTACTTTTGATTTTGCAATTTTTTGGAATATTGTCCTGTTATTGAGTATATATTTACTTGTTTGGATAATAAATATTATTATTATTATTATTATTATTATTAATAGTTAGGTCCATCGGCTTTCTATCAGTGATACTTTCACATACAGTGATCATAGGGATGTACATGTATGTGTATTGTTTTTCCCTATGTCTACTTTTAAATTACAAAATATCTTCTGAAGGGCGCCTAATTTTATGTATACAAAAAACTTCTTCACACAAATAAAGGTCTGGCTGTCATATTAATTAATTTGAATATTGTTGTTCTGGCTTCTGTATTTTTATTTTCGTTCGTGTGCGATGTATTCAACTGGAGAAAAACTTAATATTGTCAATTCGTATAGTGCTGGTAACAGTTTAAGGAGCGTAAAAGATTTATTCAAATTAATTATTATGAAAGTCATATGTTTATTTGTTTTAAGAAGTTATTTTGGTTGCATCAAATTAGGCGCACTTCGGAAGAGATTTTGTCATTTAAAAGTAGACATAGGGAAAAACAATACACGTAAATCCTTATGTCTACTTCTTAATGAATATCACCGTATATCTAACATTACCATCGCGATTTTCCTGTTAACTTTTTGCATTCGTATGCCTTCTTTGCGAGCGCCATTACTATTTCGTTTTTTACCACTCGCACGTTAGTAAGGGGGTTATTGCATCGGTGTAAAAAATGACCCCCCACTTTTTTGACGGAAATACACGTTTTGAAGCACTAGGAATTCGAATCAAAATCTCGATGATGTCGGTTTGTGGGTCTGTCTGTTGGTCCGTCTGCACTCTCATTTCCGGATAAACGGCTGAACCCATTGGAATCAAATTTGGTACACATATTTTTTGGTGTAAAAGGAAGAGCTGAAATGTTTGGGCAGAATCCCGCTAAACGGCTTAACCGATTGGAACAAAATTTGATACACATATTCAAAGGCATAAAAGGGTAGAATTGCGCCTGCGCAGTTGTGCGGGCGGCCGCAGCAATTTTTTTTCTAAAAGTCATCTTGCGCCACGTGGAATGTGCTTACTTTTCGTGGCTACAGCTGATCCTGCAATTCTACATGATTCTTCAAGTTAGATGTTTCGCTAAAAACTTATCGATCCGTATCTGTTGCATCTATGCAAAGGATAATAGCATAATTTCGTTCGGAAAATGATCTGCATAACAATTCGTTTAATATAGGGGGCTCAACATGGCCTTGTTCCATCTAAGCACCTCTGCCTGCGGTATCCAGATGCCGAGTACCTTGAAACTTTAGCTGCAACTTAGGACCGATCTACTCCATCTAAAGGTCTCTTCAGATAATGCAAAATGTTTGCTGAATCACTTGATCTCCATTCCAGTTTTACACTCTCTCTCTCTACTGATGTAGACAGTATCCTGCCAGTAACATCACAATCTCGACAGTAAGCACTTATTAGGATGTATTCTTGACAAAATAGTTGATTTGGTGATACTCTTCTTCACTTCTTCGGGAAGGAATGGTGTTTAAACCACAATTCAAGTACATGTCAAGGAATTCCCGGACAAATTTCAATTTTTTTTTTAACAAGGAAGAAGGGAAAACAAACGACGATTTAATGAAGACTTACAGATACTAACGCAACTTTATCGAAAATGACCTCTGAATTAACAATTCAAGCAAATGTCACGGGGAATGTGGAGCACAGAGAAAAATTAACGTCACTCTTTGCCAAAACTAGCAGAAACCAACTAAAAACTAACAGATACATTGTAAATTGAAACAATTTTTCCAAATTTGACATTCTTTATAAGACAACTTTAGTCACATATTTCCAAATGTCATATGAAAGCTACATCAATGTAGAATACGTAGAACAGCACTGCCGTGCCATAGTGAAACCTAGTAACTCGACCTACTACAGAAATGACATTTTTGAATTTCCTATATCTACAAACCGAGTTCTACATAATGCTATTAAAAACATTTCAATCGAGTGAATGGTTGCGAAGTTATTAGCTATCCCAATTTAGTATGTCTAGTTGGGTATCGGATAAATTAGATAGAAAGTCTATTTACTTGGTTGATTTGGTTTTTCCTTAATACGAACCTTCTTCTTGACTATCGTAAAACCTAGTAACTCGACTTACATCATTTACGTAATGGAATTGTACAAATTTATCATTGTGGCAATTACTTACTATTGTAACATATTCATATTTACAATAATAAAACATCTTAAATCTACTAAATAAAACTAAAACGAACAAAATTCCAATAAAGTACTATCGTATATCGAGTTGTCGGGATTAAAAGTAGCAATATTGCACATGCGCAAGTATATTTACACTTGATTAATTAGAATAGACGTTATATATTTCACTTGAGTGTCGGACGTCAACCGGGTTGGAATTAAGACGTGTATCTTGTGAGTGGAGAAAATGAATCGAGGGCAAAAATTGGTAAATCTGGCCGCTGAAAGCAGGTAAGCATGTCTTATTACGTCATAGCAAGGCAGAAAATCTATTAACGAAATGTAACGTCAATTTCTTACGTACTTGAAGTGTACTATTTAGGTAAATTCTCTTATCTTCCAGAAATTATACCGTAGATGAGATTACGAGAAAATCAGTATTGGAGGAATCTCCTTCACCTATGGATGATTCAGACGAAGATCCGGATTTTGATCCAGACAAGCCCGTCAAACAAAGCGGCCGAAAAGAGATTCCGAGACATTTTACCCAAAAAGATCTTTCCTTAACGAATAATTTACATAAAAAAGAACCACAACGAAAAAAAAATAAACTATGGCAGTATACTGATCAGACTATGATCTTTCCAAGTCCCGAGCCTTGGGAAAGTGAAGGTTTGAGAAATGTAAGTGATTATACCGATCTTGTGCTTCAATACTGGAAGGAGAATGTAGACAACACACCTTTAGATGTACCTGACGAAAGAAATGAAACTGTCACACGCAAAAAAACTAACAAGAACAGCAAGATTTCAAACGATAAACTAAGGTCACCATGTAAAACGAATTGTAGAAGGCGCTGTAGAGAACGAGTATCAGAAAATGAAAGGCGGAAAGTATTCGAATATTTTAATAAACTTGAATTCTCGAATAAACAATTACTTTTTTCTCCAACCACCTGAATAAGACACTATTTTGTGACAGTGTTCGGTACGTAAAATGGACGTTTTGCGGATTAATCGCTTTCACCATGGCAACTGTACAAAAAGTGGATACTTTTTGTCCTAGTACCAAAAAGAAATTGACCTTGAAAGTTGGCCAATTAAAAAATTACAATCACGGAGATATGTCACATTGACATCGTTTTACATTGCAGGTTGTAAGATATTTCTATACATACAAATCAAATATTTTTGCATATTCAATGCAAATAATGCTGTTACCTATACGTATGTACATGTATTGAAAATGATTTACGCTCGCTATTTTTATTTAAACCATGTGGAACGTAATTTACATATTCAGTGAACGTAATTTTAATACGTATACAACCCGCCGTCGCGCGTAACGCCATCTACTTCAGACCCATTGCACTATTATCTGTCATTTTGAATTCAAAATTTGAAAAAGTTAATTGCAATTAATTTTAATTAAAAAACTGTATGGTAAGTTTTTTATTTCAATACAAAATATAACACGATTAATTGTGTATACAATAGAAATGACTGAAATTGATAGCGACCTAGATTGCACTCCACCAGAGATTATTGAAACGGCAGAACATGCTACCTCAAGATTTGCTCCCTACAAAGTCGCAAGAGGTGAGAAGTAAGAAGTAAGAACGACTAGGTTATAAGTTAACCTAAAAACTAGAGTGGCATGACACGTGAGGACAAGAAAGCAGAAGTTCTTATACTATAGTAGTGAAACTGTGACTGAATCTAAATTCGAATATAATTTGAAGTAAAGGGGGTTGGAGAAAAAATTTTATGTTTTATTCGTACAAAAAATGCGTTTTCGGGACTCGGAAGGTTGCTGGACTCCGCTAACGCGTCGTCCAGCAACTATCTTCCTCGTCCCGAAAACTGACATTTTTTGTACTAATGAAACAAATAACTATTGGACAAATACATACAAAAAAAAGAAGTAAAATACCGGAAGGTCGATGCAGAAAAGAATAAAAAATTTACTGTTTCCTATACACTTCCCACGTTTAAAGAAGAAAATAATTCGTCTGACTCTATTGTCGCCGAAAGCAGTTCTAGATGTGGACCGATTGTTGTGTGTAAAGAAATGTTTCTTCGTACTCTTGGGAAAAAATCAGATGGGATGATCACCTGCTTCCTACAAAGGACGGCCAATGATCTTCCTAATCTTCAAGATAAACGAGGAGCGGCCCACGCCAGAAAAATGAAAGAAGTTGCGTCAGAAAACTACAATGTAATTAAAAACCATATAGAAACATACCATCCCCAGGTATCGCACTACAACATTTCTCACGCTCCACACAGAAGGTACCTTCCTCCGGATTTATCCATTCATCAAATGCACAAGGATTTTAGCTCAAAAATCAAGACTGTCAGCTACGAGACGTATAGGAAGGTTTTTGAAAAAGAAAACATTGGCTTTTCTGCACCCACGCAAGATGACTGCGGTTTGTGCGCAGTGTATAAGCAGCATGCCCATAAAACCGACGATCCTACGACGGAAACTTCTAGTCAAGAAGAGAAAGAGCAAATTGATCCAAATGTCTCTTCTAATGCAAAAAGCGATTGTGATACTTGTGAGAAATACCAATTACACAAAAAAAGATATACTATAGCTAGACAGATGTACACCAAAGACAGTTCAGGTGGTTTCGATAATGATACAGAAATATATGCCGTGGACATGCAGAAAGTTTTACTTCTACCGAAGATGTCAACCAAGGATTCATTCTTTGTTAGTAGGTTGGTGGTTTTTCATGAAACCTTTGCTAATTTGAAATCAAAAGGATACAACAAATGCATACTGTGGCACGAGGCTATAATGGGTCGAAACGCAGCTGACGTCGCGTCAGCGTACTACAACGTGGTCACGAAGTTACAGAATGAAACAAAGCACTTAATCTTCTGGTGCGATAACTGCACCTCCCAAAACAAAAATTGGACACTTTTTACGGCCTGTATTACATTTGTTAATCAAGATTGGGGTCCCGAAAGTATAACTTTTAAATACTTTGAGCCGGGGCATAGCTTCATGAAAGCTGATTCAATACATGGACAGATTGGCAAAAAGTGGAGTAAGTCAAAAGAGATTTTGGACATGGAAGACCTTGAAAAACTGATGAAGTCTGCAAATAAGTTGAATGAGGTAACAACATTAAGGTTTGACGACTTTAGAAAATTTGAGAACGGATGCATGCAGAAAAAGAAAACCAACTGTATGCCAAAATTGAATGATATTAAATCGGTACTATTTAAAAAGGGGTCCACCAAGATTTTTTATAAGTGCGAACTTGAACATGAAGAGTTCCAAGAGGCGACGGTTCTTAAACCCAAGTTTAAACCACAAATTCCCGAAAAGCAGGGCGCAGATAGGGGAATCAATACAAAAAAAAAGGAGGCTATTTCAAAAGTATTGTTGCCTTCTATGCCTTCTAGGAAGCAGATGTTTTGGCAGAACCTTCCAAATTTTGATGACAAAGAAGATCTTGGAAAGTCAAATGCAGAATTTGTTGTTTAGAGTATTATTTGTTCCTTATTTTGCTTTTTTCTAAAGGGTTCCTATTTTTTGTTTGTATTTTATATATACAGTGCGTTTATCTTAGATTGGAACATACGATTTTGCATGCAATGTTATTTCCCTATGTTCCATTTTAAAAAAAACGCATCAACCTGAAGGATATGCGCGGTTCACAACTAAAACAAACGTATTAGAAATTTGCGAGTCACATTTGAACCAGCCTTTATTTTTAGGTTATGTACGTGTACGGTCGAAAGTCGAAGAAAAATTGTTTAATAATAAATAAAATGAATTTAATTATAAGTTATAACAAATGTTCAAAGTGCCCTCCTTCACATTCCAAGCAGTACCCTAACCGATTGCGAAATTCCTGAATACTATTTCGTAAAAACGTAGGATTCATTTGATCACATGCTGTTAGTATTCGGGTTTGTAACTCTTGCACATTCTGAATGGGAACATGATTATAAATTTTCGATTTTAGATATCCCCAAAGGAAAAAGTCATTTGGCGACAGATCGGGAGATCGTGCTGGCCAAGTGCCAAGATATTGGACCAAATCTACCGATCCAACGGCCCGGGAATGTTTCATTGAGGAAACTTGTCACTGGTCTCGTAGAATGTGGTGGAGCCCCGTCCATTTGAAACCATGGGTTGTTTATATTCAACTCCTGTAACCGTGGAATAATGCGCGATCTAAGTAATTCGAGAAACTTTGTTGAATTTAGAGTTCCATCGATGAAGAACGGTCCGATTAGAATATTGTTTATTATCCCGGCCCAAACGTTAATTTTAATATTATATTGCGTATGCGTTATGTTGTGTACATGATTATTAGTTTGTGACCAATATCTAATGAAGAAAACGGTATCAGTAAGATTTAATATGGAGATAGGTACCTACCGATAGTTTTGAGAATTTACTGTACCGTTCAGAGAAAAAGATGCTTCATCTGTAAACATTATTTTGTGCAATATTTCCTCATTATTGTTTAACAAATTAAATATTGTTTCGCAAAAGTCTGTGCGTTTTATTTTATCATCATCAAACAGTTGTTGGTGATTTTGAAATTTGTACGACTTGTATTTAAATTTCTTTAGCGTTTTAAACACGGAAGTTCTAGAAATTTCAAATTCCTTGGCCATTAAACTTAGTGATGCTGTTGGGTTTTCTTCAGCATAGCACAAAATTTCTAATTCCAATTCTTCATTAAGGACATGGTTAATTTTTGCCTTTTTTGTGTGAAGATTTGCAACACAGCCATCCCTATCAAATTTTGCTATAACTCTGTGGATCGTTGAAATGGATGGTATTTGTTCGTCAGGATACTGGACTGCAAGTAAATCGCGGACTTGTCTTGTACTGTTTAGGCCTTTGTATAAATTTATAATTGCAATTTTCATTTCTTTAGGCAGCATTTTTGAATTTATTGCAGGGCGGTAGATTTAAAGGTGACAGTAGTACATTGCGCCTACTACCCATTTGAACTACTCCTTCAGGTTGATGCGTTTTTTTTAAAATGGAACATAGGGAAATAGCATTGTATGCATAATCGTATGTTCCAGTCTAAGATAAACTCACTGTATATGATACATAGTTACGTACTTAAGTATTGTTTTGTTTAAGTTTCGTTTCACAATTTACTAATACGGAATAAACTTGTCCAAATATTTGAGCATTTAATTCATTAAATCACTTCATTTGATTGACATGATGCGTTAGCGAGATCTATGTCCACTAGTAAGTCGACTAGCTAAAAACAACAGAATTATGTTTCATTTTTTTTATGATTCATTCGACTTACTAGGTTTTACTTTCAACAATGGTGAAAAACTATAGTGATTTTGACGAGTTACTGCGATTTGTTTAGTCAAACAGGAGTAGTAAATAGAGCAACTCGACTTGCTTGCTTTTACTTTAGCATATTACCTGTCGTACCCTAACCTAGTAACTTTTTTTTTTAATTTTTTCGGTTTCTTTTCGAAAATATACACATGTTAAGTTAAAATTTGAATTCACAACAAAATTATTAATAAATTTGTTTTATATTGACATTGTGTGTGGTATAGGAACAACGTTACAAACAATTAACTTTTATAAACTTTCAACGCGTATACCCACAACTTTGAAATTTTGAGTTACTAGGTTTTACTGTGGTACGGCAGACTGCAGTAGACTAGTAACTATGATAAATAGCTTTTACAATATCACAATTTATGTGACGAAAACAAGAGTTTAGACGTTTTTGGTATTAGCACATGACAAACCTCATGTTATAGACACAAAATCTACTTATTTTTTGATACTATAAAAAGTATAGAAATTCATTAAAAAATTACATTATTCAAGACTACACAAAATTTAAACGATGGCCCTGTATATCAATTAAATTGAACAAATAAAAGCATATGATTTGTTTGTAAAATTAAGTTTATTTAATGAATTTGTTGCCGTTCAAATTTGTTTATTCTCTTCTCGTAGTGACCTTTTGAGTGGATTCTGCATGTACATAGGTCATACGTATATACCGGAAGAATTGCTACAGTCTTTCGAAATCGTCGTTCTAGTAACTCATAAAATCAATTTTAAAAAATAGTTCAAGGCACACTATTTTAAATGCGTACGACATAAAATAATGAGAAAAGACGAATGATCGAAACGAGGGCGTTGGTAAATCGTAAAAAAACGCCACAATTTACATTTATGACGTCACGGTAGCATACATTGCAATAATTAAAAGTAATTAGGAAGTCGGAACTAGAAGAACGAATTTACACACGCATTACTGTTGCGAGTGTTTTTAGGGGAAAAAGATGAACAGGGAGTAAGTTGTGGTGTTAGTGGGTTGTTTGTAAGAAGGTTTTGTAGGTACCTGAAATCTCGGTGCTTCGAGGACGAAGATGAGAACTGGTGGCAGAGAAGATCGGGTATGGAACGGTGTTTATTTATCGGCCTGCTGTTCGCAATATTATTGTCGCTGGCGTGCGTTATTTATATTTCGTTACAGATTCTGCGTAAGTAACTCTTTTCGAGAGTATATTGTATTTAGAGTCGATTTACAGTAAATGTAGAGGTGTGCTCAAACACCTCTTGTTTAGCGGAATCCTATAGAATAGCCACTCGCTTAAACAATACCGTAGACCCCTGCGAGGATTTTTATCAATACGTCTGCGGAGTAAGCCCCGAGAGAGACAACACAATTTCAACACTTAAGCAGAAAGTCAACGAAATGCTCGTCGAAAGCGCAGGCGAAGACGACTCCAATGCGACGAATGATGAAAGAAAATTGTTTGACAATTGCCTCAACCAAACCGACTCGGAAAACTTTATTGTTACATTTCAAGAGGTGTTGGAAGACATTGGGGGTTGGCCCGTACTCGTTGGGTACCATTGGCGTGCCCGTCTCTTCGAATGGACCGATGCAGTTTACTCGCTAAAAAGCAGAGGTTACCCCTTCTCCATGTTTCTGGACGTTCAACTTCAAAGTGAGGGTAGAATAAAGGTAAGTACACCTTTGAGCGCTTAACACTCACCGTTTTGGGGCAGCTTTCAATCGTTAGCTTCGCATTTCCGCACAAAGGATTATATCTTCAATTCATGATCGATACGGCTGTTGTTTTTGGGGCAGACAGGTACCAAGCCAAGCTGCAAATGGAAAACGTCCTCAGCTTCATGGAAGAGTTACAAGGGGTGCGCCCGTAGATGAATTCCATGCCCAAATTAAACAAGCTTTTTAGGTTGCCGAGAAGAATGTAACGCTCAAAAGGCCCGATGAGCTCTTCGGAACGCATGTAACAGTGGAGGAAATGCAAAAAATTTACGATGAAATCCAATGGCTCGACTTTTTAAATAACATTCTTTATCCGTATACGGTAACTGACAGTGACGTAATTGTGATACCGAGCCATGAGCATTTTGGCGCATTCATTGATCTAATTACATCGATTCCTAAAAGGTAACTTAGTGTACATTCATAAACCAGCAACTAAGGTATTTAGAGTTCAAGCTAATTACATGGTATGGAGAGTTATTGAGGAGATGATCCCGTTTATGTCTAAACAATTACAGTATTTAAAGGGTAATTACACGTGCCAAATCGAAAGTGGAACTCACCAAGACCACCACGAATTTTGTTGCGAATCGTTGGATGCGATTTATGTTCTCAGACCATTGCAACTGCAATATATTCAAAACCGTTTGTCTGCGAAGAGAAAACTTATGATCGAGGAATTATACTTGGCAGTGAAAGAAGAGATAATTAGTCAGTTGGAGAATAGTCGGTGGATCGATGACGAGAGTAGGCAAGCGTCTGTTGACTTTTTCGAAATGACGGAAGTGGTAATTGGAGCTCCAGATGGCTATTTTAATGGAAGTATTTTTGAAGAACTTTACGTAAGTACGTTTCGCGTCTGAGTTCTTTTGTTCATGTACTTGTAGACGTGGGAATTGGAAGGCGAAAGTATCTTCGAAATGATTCTGAGCGCCAGAAAAAACTACTTCGAGACCTTAATGGTCATGCAGAACAGCTCTGTTATGCTTAATTTAATAAAAGGGACTGAAATCGGTTACAGCACTAATACAATTGGTAGGCAATTTTGAAAAATGCTGCAGAAAATGAATTCCAGTGCATTTCAGTATTACCATTAGCGGTGTTAGATGAATACTTTGACGAAGAAAGACCAATGTATCTCAATTACGCCGAGCTTGGAGTCGCCATTGCAGAAGTTTTATTAAAATCGTTGACGGATAATGTCGAACAATTGTGGAGTAACTCAACCGTAGAGGAATTCGAAGAGAGAACGAAGTGCAATTCCGTATATAAAATCTGGGACGATTGTAAAGTCTCTAATTCTCAAATTTTAGGTGGCGCTATTGTTGGGATATCGAAGTTACCAAAAATGGGCAGAAAGTCGCCGAAAAGAAGCCAGATTAGTTGCGATAGAGCAAACCCCCAACCAGCTTTTCTGGATTTCTGCGATGTCGTCCTCCTGTCATAGCTATGTTCAGTTCCGACCTAATCAATATCTACTTAAGGATTTTATGTGTGCATCTGATACACACTTTGATGATTGCGATGTACTTTAATTACTGTAATTAAACACGCTACGGTTATAAAACTTTTTTGCATTGCGCTCTCGTGTATCTTTCAATAAGATATTATTCGGTCAAAACCTACACAACGATTCCGTCATTTTGCAAATTAATCCTAATTGGGAATTTAAAGTAGGTGCTTGCACTTAATGCAGTGTACTTCTAAAGCACGCTTCGTGAATCAGTGTATAAGTTCACAGTATGGACGATATGTACGTATACTTTTTAATTGACTAACGCTTCCCTAATTATAATTTAAGCACTTCGGAACTACTGAATAGCAAGAGAAAAAAACTGAAAAAGTGGTGGGAACAATTATCACATTTAGAACAAAATTTAATCATCTCGTTAGTCATTATAGGCACCGTTCTTTTATTTATAATTCTTGTACTGATAATAAGAGGCGCAAGTACTACATTAGGAAGACAATCCATGGAACTAATGCCGGCGTTTTTTAGCGTCATCAAAGATTTGTACGACGCGACATTGTTTATTGGCGGCATCCGAAATTGCCACCCTCACGGATCCTACGATCGACCCGTGCCACGACTTCTACCAATTCACTTGCCGAAAGTTGAGTGAACTTGATAATAAGAAAGTGCAAATAACCGCCGAGCAAATTGAAGATAAGCTAATCGACATATTGTTGGCGCCAAATAACGGCGATGAGGGTGACCAGTTAATGGAGCACAAGCAATTATTTGGCATGTGTCTAAATCAGTCAGTGGGGGAGGAATCTTTTAGGGAGATAAATGCGATTATGGGCGACCTGCACGGTTGGCCCGTGGCGTTGGGGTACGAGTGGAAAGCGGGCTCCTTCGAATGGAAGAATATGATAAAGGAACTGAGGTCGAAGGGCCTCCCTTACAATATGCTGCTTTCGATATCCGTTGCTCCATCGCCTACCGACCAAACCTTCATGCTGCACGTAAGCATTTATTGAACACTATACAGGGTGATTGATCTCCGAAACTAGCACAGAGAAAGCGACGATGAAATGGCGAACAAACTGGAGTTGCCAAGCTCAATTTATTGGGTCTAGATTACGGTCATTTTTGTTTGTTTTAAAACCGTTTGTTTAGTAAACAAAAATGCGCCTTTCATAATGGTTGCTTAAAATATTTGACTATTAGGTATAGACGTAACTAAGTACTTACTGGTACTAAGTATATTTCAGGTTTTGTTACAAGAAAAATAGCTAAGTCTGTTAAATGTTCCATATGTGCAGGTGCGATATTCGCATCAGAGAGTCATTCAAAGCTTTGAACTACAAAAAATCGTGGAGGATTGTTGCACGTATCAAGCGATGCATTAAAAATTTGCCAAATTGCTGAAAATGTGTTCAGGTTTTTCATTCAATCCACACCACACCGCGTTGTGAACAAAATGGTTATCAGCAGTCTAAGAAAAAAAATAACAGTTCATAGACAGGGTTTTTGGAAGGCATATATTGAAAAAATTACCGCTCAATAAAATATTATACTTTACCATCTTTATTTTTTTAAGATTTTATATTTTCATATAAAAATTTTCACAAACCAAAAACGCATTATAATCAAATCGTGATAGAGTACATTTTATTTTGTTATATAATTTATTCAAATAAAATAAAAACGACTTAAAGCTAACCATACACTTTGAGTCTAATCGAAACTCTGTAGTTATATTCGTCATTCCAAATAGCCATAGATCAATGAACAGATTTAGTGGAAAATTCGTATAAATAATATTTTAAAAAATACCTGATTGAAACCTTTTTATTTAATGCGTTGTGGCTAAAGGAACGATAAAATCCACTTCCCCCTCCCTAAAGATTGTAGAACATCGATCAGAGAGTTCAAAAAGTAACCGATTTTGTTTGTTTTTCTTTATCGACGCAGAATTTTATTTTCTTTAATTTACTAAAGAAGTGTTATTCATAATATATGGACCGTTTTCGAGTTTTAAGCGATAAATTGAAAAAATGCCAAACATTTTGAGGTTTTTTGGCTGCCAAAAGTTGTGCCGGAAAAAAAATTTGTGTGCACTCTTCAAATACATGTTATTTGGACCCAAATGGACCATTTAAAATAATAAAATCTTTTACACCACCTTTTGCAGGTCAAAATTATCTGCATACTGGACTATTTGAGTGCGAACACAATTTTTATTAGGAGAAATTCTTTTCACTCTAATTTTTGGTTAATGTTTTTTCAAATGCTGACATTTAAATTAATTTCGGGTTTACGTATTCGAACAATCAAGTTTAATCCCATTTTGTTCACTAACGGCGACACAGTAGAATGTTTTGAGCGAAAAATAACACAGCGCGCTTATCTCATCTGTCCTTGACCGAAATCGATTCCAATTTATGCGACGTAAACGCGAGCGTATCACAATGAGGTTTTAACGTCCTCTGGTTGCACAATAGTTCCCTTTATGGTGTAAAAAAATGACACAGTCACGGAATCCCCCTCCAGATTTGATTCTATTGTAAATACTCACGGAACTTGCGTTCAATTTACCAGTTTTTCAAAACTGGAATTTTCTATTATACCCGAAAAACGACTTTCACCCATAAATTCCGCACAAATTTACTTGGTAGTTCCCGGCCCTAATTAAAATTCTATTTTAAAATATACTGGTCCCAATCATGACCAATCGCGAATTGATAAATTTTAATTTTCTCTAAGGATCACATGTATTCTTAACCGCGAATCCACAAAAATGTTCCCCAAAACTAATCCCCTCAATTCTTTATTAATTAAAAAATGGTTTCGTATTAACGTAGACCGCCATCTTTAATCGTTAATTCCTATTAGCTCATACTAAACCATAGTAATAGTTCAGTGACTTCATGTGGAACTTATCTTCCGACCTTCAGGATCTTTCCCATGGCTTTCAAACGATTGGAAATGATTTATTGGGTCACATTTAATTGCTCTGCATGCTGCTATTGCGTTTGACTATCATATTCATCCAGAAATGTTTGCAATTCGACGTCATCAAACTTTTTTGGAAGTTGGTCGTGTTTCTCGTTTTTCACATCAAAATCTCCTTTAAATTTTCTGAACCACTCACAACATTGTGTTAGCCCAAGAGCATGCTCTCCATAAGCTTCTACAAGCATTCCATGCGATTCGGAGGCATTTTCTTCACGAAAAAGCAAAATATCAACGACATTTTTAAACGGGTGTTTGTAGGCACAAAACTCGGCAGAAGAAACAAGAAAAAATGTTTTGTTTTATGAACCTTGAACTATTCTGAATTGGAGACTGTTGCCAAATGTCAAAATAGTAAAAAAAAAAGCGATGCAGAGAATTGACACACCATAGCGGGGAATTTTCAGTGTCATATTTTGTAGACCTAAGTAATTGAATATAATCCAAATCGCTGACATCCTATCTCCAGACATCCGGAATTCATTAAGAAATCAATGCGCTATAGATATTAAAAGATGCAATCAGACAATCTTCAATTCCACCCCATTTGCTCGCTTATTTATTCTTACAATTCCACTACCAAATCTCCGACCTCCTAACTACCACAAAAATCATCGTCTATAAACCTTAATTTGGAGGCTCTAAAAGTTGAATAACGAAAAAGGTTTCGAAAAAAGTAGCATAAAACCCGAAATTTTGAGAAAATTGGTACCAACAAAAAATGAACATAGAAAAGTTTCTAATTTTATATCCTTAAGTTGAAGTTTCTTGAATAACTCAAAAAACCAAATAAGTGCACAAGATTTAGTTAAAAAAATATTTCCAACTTTCTCTAAATATCTGAAAAATGTAAGGTTATACAATTGTATTATGATGGGCGATCAAAAATGAGTGGCGGTCGACTCGCCTTTGGAAGTTCGATTTCCCGTGTAAATAAAAATTCCAGAAGTGACTCTACAGCAACTTATTTTTGATCGCCCGTTACTATATTTGTGCTTTATTATTTTATTTATTTATTGTCTCTCTCTTGCTCTGGGCCCTCGACAGGCTTTCCCCCAATTACATAGTGACCCGCATAATGCTTTTTAGAGGAGGACAAGAAAGCTATGTCGGTGCTTCTGCCCTTTTATTAATGGAAAAATAAAATGAAAATAGAGACGCTTACTAATCGATAGCGTGTAAATTGAGATTGTTTAGCATCTTTCATAATTCCCATCCCATAATTGGGAACCTTTGAAAAACATTTTTAATGAGCTTTCTAAGGCCACATTAGACATAGGGGTGGTTTATAGGTGGAAGGGATGAAAGTATCGAATTTTGTTTAAAGCATCCAAGATGGCGATCAAAGTACCGGTTTTGAGAGCTTCATAAAAGAGAACCAGATCGAATTATTAACGAGCTCCTAGCGAGTTTATAATTTTGTTGTGTCTGTCCGTCCGTCCGTCCGTTAGCACGATAACTCATAAACGAATGGACCGATTACGATGAAATTGTGCAGGTGGGGATTCTTTATCAAATTCGTAGATCGGAGTTCGTGAATTGGCAATGTAGCCCAAAAAATAAAGTAGGCCCTTTTGACATCTCCGTTAGTAATGAACCGAATTGCATGAAATTCAATACGCGCATAGCTTTAGCCATATAAAACACAATTCCAAAAGTTGAACCTAATCGATCAGCATTCACAGTGCCCTTTGCGCATCTCGACCATTTACAGACCGAATTGCAAACTTTCTTATTTATGAAGGTATTTAAATGAAATTTGATACATGGCCACTTGGAATAAAAGTAAATTTAACGCCAGTTTCAAAATTTGGTTTTGCGCATGCGCAGTGACAACTTTCTGATTTATAGGGGGATTTAAATGAAATGTGGTACATAACCACTTGGAATAAAAGAAAATTTAACATCAGTTTCAAAATTTGGTTTTGCACATGCTATAGCCATACCCAGGAGCTCGTTTGCTATATTTGTTTAATTTATTATATTGTCAAATGAACCTTTTCTGAACGCATACACATTTGGCGAAATTCAATTTTCGTTCTGTTACAGCAAATTTTGTAACATATCGAGATTTCCGAAGTGAAAGGATACATTGTACTTACATTAATTTTTTCGCTTTACAACTAAAAGAGTTTTACTATTTTTCTGTACCAGCGAGTTTTTAAATCGATCTTCAACGGATTAGTGGCTTTTAGTCACGGCTGAGTTCCTTAGATGTGAAGTCGAGTTCGCAACTTAATTAAAGCGCAGCGTTAAAAAAATTCCGTTCAATTAAACATTGTTTTATAAAAAGTGTCTAATTATGATTTTTGAATTTATTGACATTACAGCTTTCACTTCGGAAATTACGATATTCGACAAAATCGGCTTTAGTCATAATCACTATTAAAATTGTTTAAAACCGTTTTGTACAGATTCAAAAACCAGAAGTGGCAAAAATTCCCCAACAATACAGGTATGATTATCGAAAATTCATGCAGGAGGTCGCGATCGCGTTTGGTGCAGAACGATCTAGAGCTCTAAACGATATGAAACGCGTTTTGGATTTCATTATAGAAATGGGTAAGGTAAGTTATCTCAGTCGGTGCACTCGTTACGCACAACTAATTTACAATCATTAGTTAACAGACAAATCAAAAAAATACGAAAAGCACAGGCTCATTGATATACAAAGGTATTTCGGCGAGGTCGATTGGGTGAATTTTTTGAATGATATTCTACAACCATCTGCTTCGGTTACCATTGACGACTACGTCATAACGCCCGGTCACAAGTATCTGCACGAATTTTTTACTTTATTAAATCGCACACCTAAACGGTAGGTAGGTCATTGCAACCCTTATTTTTAAATGAAATGCTTCAGTATTCAGGCTAATTATATTTTATGGGTCGTGGTGGAACAGTACCTTCCCTTTCTGTCTGAACGGCTCAGAGTATTACAATCCAATTACGCACACTTGACTGGCTCTGTAAAATTATCACCTGAGAGGTGGCACTTGCAGCAGTGCTACAGTATTGCTAGCAGCGCTTTTGTATCTCCACCTGCTGAAATATTGTTCCTAAAGAGACACCAAAGAGAAGGCAAAGCGAACGGCATTGTACAGTTAGCCCAAAATGTGAGAAAAGCGTTTGTGATATTTTTGAAAGAAACGCGGTGGATCACTAACGATTCTAAGCTGAAGATTTTGAGTAAGTTGGAAGATCTAGCAATTATGGAAGCTTCCCTCAATGAGGAAGATGATAAAACCCCTTCCACTGAAGGTGGATTCCTTCACAGATACTTGATACACATTAGGGATAGGATAAACTTTGAATACAAACGAATGCTTGACGAAACCAAGCAAGCCCACTATCATCCGCTGTACACCTTAGAGGTGACCTACTTACAGGAAACCAACACTCTTGGTAAGTTCCATCGGGCACAAATTGTACTCACAACAACGCTTCCATAGTTCTTCCGATCGGATCATATTTTGCAGATGTTCCATTTTATTTAAACTACGGCGAGCTTGGCTCGATCATTAGCCATACACTTACTCACGCAATGCTCGCTAATGAAGATGAACAACCGTGGACCGCAAATTACAACGAAAGTTCAAAATGTGTTAAACATCAGGTCAGTCCACCTACTCACCGAGCTAAATCAAGTCTAATAACACCATTCGCAGAATACCGATCCTGTAGATTTAATCGGAATACAACTCGCCTACGCCGCTTATCAGATTTGGGTTTACAACCACGATGACGAAGATCAATTGATTGGATTACAGCATACCCCCAATCAATTAGCGTGGATTGCCTCCGCGCTCGGATATTGCTCACTAATTCGAGATCAAAGCACCATCAACACGATCACCAAAAACCATCCAAACTTTCATCGGGATTTCGAATGTCCTTGGGGTTCACCCATGAATCCGCTACAGAAATGTACACTAATTTAATTTTTTGTCAAAGAATAAAACCTTAATTGTATGGTACTTGCCGTTTTCAAGATTATTAGTTTTAATAATAAAACCCAAGCAAAGCAATGTGCTTTAATTTAGGTTTTTAAATTACCACTAATTACAAGGCAGTAAGATGGGATGTGTCAGTCCTTACGCGTCTTTCTTCTGTGCGATAATTAAACAATGGCCGAAGGTATTAGCGATAAAAAGCCAAAGCGTACCGTGCAGTGCAACTGGGGCGAAAAATCGAAATTGGAACGTAATCTTATAATAACTCTAATCGTGATTATTTTGCTTTTTATCGGTATTTTGCTATACGTCGTAATAAGGCCGGCAGGTGAGTAATTTATGCCCAATTATCGTGAGTGCAATTGTCTTTAGTTATGAGAAGAACATGTATGTCGAAGGACTGTTTAATCTCCGCTTCCGAAATTATAAGTCGCATCAGACCAGAAATAGATCCTTGCGACGACGTGGTGAAGTTTGCCTGTGCCAATTCAAAAGGACGTTCCGACTCCAGCGTTAAAGATGGTATCGAACGAGATTTGCTTGAAATTCTTCAATCGGAGGTTGGAGATAATGATCACATTTTGCTCAAAGTCGAAAAGCTGCTCTTCCAAGCTTGTCTCAAAGACGGCGATAATAATCTAACCCTGATCGATAATGGCATTTCAGATTTAGGTTGGCCTGTTCTCATCGGTTATCAATGGCGGGATCAAAATTTTGATTGGCAACAACTAATTTTCAAATTACGAAAGAATGGGTATCCATTTGAGATGATGCTTCAGGTTCAAGTCGTCAAGGAAGGGCCAATGTACACTGTTAAGGTAATCTACTTCAAAGTTAGCAACAATTGATAGTATTTTAGGTTTCACCTCCGAGCGTCACAAGCGTCACCGCAGGCGTTGAGTTATACAAGAAGTATATGGCCGATGTTGCCGTATTTTTTGGAGCGGAAGCTAAACGGGCGGAAAATGAAATGGAGAAGGTTTTCTATTTTGCGCAACACTTAAAAAAGGTATAAATCAGAGGGACGTGACGGATCAAATGATTTTAGTGAACCATTTCAGATCAGTGACTCTCATTCGGGTAGCGTTAGCACAACTATACGTAACTATTTAGAAGATAACGCTGATATAGACTGGCTGAACTACATTAATAACATTTTGTATCCTGTAAATCAGCTATCTCTGGATGATTACGCTCAATTTCCTACGAAAGAGTTTATAGATGAACTGCACAACTTGATTTATCGAACACCAAAACGGTAAGAAAGCACTCGCTGTGTGTGCAAGGAAATAATATACCAGTATACCAGTGATATTTAGGGGGTAAGACTTCTTGGGATATTAAAAATTATCAAAGTCGTCGTATAAGGATCAAAGGGACTTCAGCGCATTTTTGTGTAGCAGATCAGTATTCTATTAGCCAGTTTTGACTCCACCCTCAATAAGATCTTGTGGATGGACTATCACATTCCCTTTTGACCCCACTGTCAGTTAGATCCTGTTGGATGTTACCGCGTTCCCTTTGTCGCCACTCACTCACTTCTGACGCTCTCACAGTCATATCATAAATGCCCCATTGGCGGGTTTAGCTTAAAAAACCCGTCACAAAATAGTACTCAACTTTTTGGGACACTTCTCATAGGTCGAGCTTCTATTAGCGATACGAGCAAGAGAGACCACGATTCGATCTTTCAACTGCGTATCAAAATTCGCAGCGAAAGGTAACGTTTGGACGCCCGAAGTCGACTACTCCTCGAAGACGCGCGCCATACAATTACAAAGGGTAGTTAATTTGGCCCTCGCGAAAAAAAACAAAATTCCGTGACGCAGGAGTTGTGCGAAATTACAAGATCTTTCCGACGACACCAATTTGAAAGCAAACGGACCAAAACTGTAGAATATAGCAAAAATTTTAAAAATCACCATGTTAGTATAACATGCTCGGGGATGGCGCCCAGATGTCGCCGACCACATCATGTAGCCCCGTCCCTAAAGTTGTTAAATATTGTATGGGTGTTTAACCATGTATCTGTATCTGGCGCCAATTCAGTAAAACAAAGTTGTAATTCGTAAGTAATCACAGGCGTCGGTTTAAATTTCACTTTGACACCTAGCAAATTGACAAGCATGACAAAACCACAAAATTCTGCTCTTAAATACTAAGAACGTCACAATGACGCAATCATACTAGCCTGGGACACCCTGTAATACAGTACTCCTAACGTGGTGAAGTAAATCATACATTTTCTCTCCAATTTATTTTTAACATATCATTATAGGAAGATTAAAAACCGAGTTAAAAACAAATAATTAAACATCCGAAAGTCTGTAATATGTACATTAATTTTACGCTCGTTTTGTGTGGAAGACAGGCCAAATTGATTACCAAAAACGGGCGAATAAATCTAAAGAGTGGGCGGGCGAAATAATAATTTGCCGTATTCTGCACAAACACCACCCGCTGTAGGTACAACTTCCGTTTTTCTTGGAAAATACAGTTTATTACAAAAGTTTCTTTGTAATAAGTTTACGGGGTCAGGTAAAAAAGTTATCGCATCTAACCACATTTTTTAAATGGATTCAATTCAAGAAATCAAAAATTTTGTGAAATTTTTTGTATTTTTTTTGGATCATTTGGATCTTTCTTAATCTTCAAAAATATGTTCTTAATCTTTTTTAGTATTTGATGAATTTTTTTACGATTGTTGAATCTTTCTTTTAATGTTCACGGTGTGCTGTAGTTTTAAAAAGAATAGGTATTTAGTATGCTGTCTGTTTAGATTAAAATATGCAGGGGTTTCCATTAAAAAAATGTGGTTAGGTTCCAAAACTTGTTTTCTTGACCCCGTACACTTATTTTTAAAACGGTAGATTAAGCAACAATCATTTGTTATAAACACATTTCCAATAAAATAAAGAACAAATTATAGGCTTTTATCTAAAAATCGAAAAATGTAACTTTTGCCCACAACTCGTGGATAAATGACTATGCCAGTTTGGTTTTCAACGGTAAGGTCATTTTTTTTCTATTAGTGTTTAAGAGTTACTCCATACTAACAACCAAATTTGGACACCCTGTACAGAGAAAATAATTCATTTACCTACACAAGCGTGAAATTGTCCAATTGTAATAGTGGCGACATAATTCCGAATTCCAAGGATCTTTCTTCAAATTCGATCATCATCATTATTAGCATTCTGTATTGCGTTTTTTATTAGTTCAAGAGCGGGTAACGTGGCGTCCTCTGACTACGGCCCTGGTGGAAGAGAAATCGCCTTTACCAACATAGCAACATTTATTTGCGGGGTTTGTAATTTCTGTTGTACGTAGAAAATAATTGTATCCCTTCACGTTCTAAATTTCGTGATTTTTAAAAGAATTCGCTCTTACCTACGTATTATGTAGCAACATTCAGTTGCGGGGGTCGTAATTTTCGCTGTACATAAAATATTGTTTCTGTGGTAGATTATGTTTATAGCCTCTAAGAAACCCTACAATAGCCACCTAAAAATAAAATCCCCTCTCGTTCATAGAATTTCGTAATTTTTAATGAAATTCGCTCTTACCTATATAATAACATTTAATTGAGGGGGTTGTAATTTTCGCTGTACACAAAAAGTTATTGTTTCTGTGATAGATTTTATGCTTATAGGATCTACAAGCAACCCTAAAATCCTCACCTCAAGTTAAATTCTCTTCCCGTTCTAAAATTTCGTAATTTTTAAGGGTGTTCGCTTTTACCGACATATGTTTCAACATTCAGGTGCGGGGGTTCTAATTTTTATTTTCCATCAAAATTATTGTTTCTGTCGTAGATTATGTTTCTAGAACCTTCAAACAACCCTACAAAAGCCACCTAATAAATACATCCCTACCCGTTCTAAAATTTAGTAATTCTTAAGGGAATTCGCTCTTACATACATAGCATCATCCAGTTAATCTTTGCTGTATCAAAAATTATTGTTAGTTATAAATACCGTGTATAGGACAACAGCCACATACAAATAAAATATTAACGGAGAATTTTGAGGTTACAACTGTATGCTTATTTATTTATTGTTACAAGCTACACAGGGCACAGCCCTAATTACGTAGCAGGTATGTATTATCTATTAATTAAGGGTTGCTGAATAATAAGTATATAATCTAATAATGACATTCAACTAAAAAATGCTACAAACTTTCACCTACAAAAAATTAAAAAATATGATACTGTTGGGGTGTAAGAAGCCCTACTAATTTTTTTTCTTTTATCCTTAATTGAAATCATAATGTTTTATTAATTGTCTGGAAAAAATGTTAAATATTACAGTCAAGTCTAAATCTAGTAAATTAAATAATTCGTTGACAAGTCTATACATTATCAGAAACGGTCTATTGTAAGCGTACGTGACTACAGGTAACGTGTAAAAAAGGTACACTTCTGGCAGATACACGCGGAATTTTGATTTGCATTAGAGTTAAAAGATAACTATCTTTGATCCTGTAATTCAGAATATTAAAAGCCAACTGCATTAAAATTATATTTCTCCTATTCACTAAGCTTTGGATTTCAAAAACTTTCCTTATTTCAACCGATCTAACACTGTTATAGTTAGGATAAGTGCCAAATTTTTTATAATAGAGAAATCGTAAAAACTTATTTTGGACTTTTTCAATTGCTTTTATTGAATTACACGTGTTTGGATGCCAAACTGTGCTAGCATATTCAAGCTTTGGTCTAACTAATGTAAAATAAAGTCGTTTAACTGTACTTATGTTTTTGAAATTCTTGGTTTGCCTCATAATAAAACCCAAAGTTTTGTATGCACCAGCCACTGTAATATTTATGTGTTTATTAAAGTTCAATTTATCATCGTAAGTTACTCCAAGATCCTTTATGGAAGTTTCACGTTCCAAACTTAACCCGTTAATTTCATAATTAAAAAAGAGTGTACTCTTCTTGCGCGAGAACGATAATACATTGCACTTTTTTATGTTTAGAGGTAATTTATTCAAACGGCTCCACTGATACAATTTATTAAGATCATTTTGAAGATTTAAACAATCAGAAATATGTACCAACATTTCTAACTGAGTTGAATTTAACATTGTACTCGTTTTTTGCTGGTTTTTCTACCACGTTTTGTGTGTTAAAATTCGCATCTGAATTATAGTGCTCATTTTGTGCGTTGAATACGTAATCTTTAATTTGAGATTACAATTACGAACGATGAGCTTCGATAGCGATAAAGGTTCAAATTCTACAAAGCATTTTTTTTAATTCTTAAAAAATGCGCTAAAAATTGCAGGAAAAACCCAAATTTTGTGTGATCATAGTTCCCAAAGGAAACATTCTGGAACGTTGTTTGATTAGGAATGAAAATTTTCGCTATGGTTCTCTCCAGCACCTAATTTTGTTTCATTTGAAAAAATCAACTTTTTAAGGTTCGAAGTTATTAAAGTGGCTCATTAATTTTAAAACACATTGTAGAAAGGCAATTTAAATCATTCGCATGTAGCATCATGTCAATATTGTTGATTTTGCAAGTTTCAAGTCAACGGAGCCATAGGTACAGGGCGCTAAAGAAAATTAGTCAAACGTCAAAAATTTTGAAAAATCATCAATAACTTAAAACATTTGGTGCTAGATATTATAGGGAAATGTGGTATCAAACGACGTAGATTTTCATGTAGATTTTAAAAATGCAATAAAATACAGGGTGTTCTATTTAAAATAAGCAAATTGGTATCCACATCCGGTAAAATCGGAAGTGAAACGATTATGATAATATTTTCTTTCGATAGATCACGAAAAACTATGTTGGTATGCAAATTTTCAGATTTAAATTAATAATGGAAATCTGAATAGTAAAGTAAAGGTTTGCGTGAAACATCCTGTATATTTCGAGCGCAATTCATTAATTCTTTGCATACAGTTGCAACCCCAAATTAAAAATTCAATATCACTGTTAATTTTGTAGCAGAGAAGAAACACAATTCACCATATAAAATTGAACTTAATTGAACATGTAACAATGTACATCATAGGCCTTCAGCACCAGATTAAAAAGTTCCCTGTAACTTTGGCAGCAAAATTAGCTATTTTAATATATTGTCGAAAGCTGCATGCTGCACTCTATTAAGTACCTGTGAAGGTAGCACATTAATTTCAAAAATGGTTTAATTTCTTGGTAGTTTCTACGTAATTTCTCCACAATTCTGTTTGCACCCATTGTAGTTCCATACAGCGACGGACCTATGGGGGGGGAGGGGCAAGGGGGGGCAGGCTGCCCCTCCAATACTTAACTAGTTGGCAATTTTGACAAGAGTTGGTAATTTTCATTACCAGTTGGTGAATGCCGCGAAAGTAGGTAAATAGTAAATGTAATAAATTGACTATTGAAGGAATGAGGAATTGCGGCAAAATCTATAAAAAAAGGACTCTTTAATAGGAAAGTCACTTCCTTCTTGTTCAACACAAGGTTGGTATTTTGGTAAGGCTTTTAATTAGTATTAGAGACCGTATACTGATATCCTACATTTTCTACATGATTTATTAGACTTGAAAATACCACTTAATACTTAATAGAGACTTCCCGTTTGAGTTGGAAATTTTTACAGTTGAGTTGGCAAAAAGTCATGTCGGCCCCCCCAATTTTTTGGTCTAGGTCCGTCCCTGGTTCTATAGTTCAATATCATTTTCAGAAGAAAATATTTGGATTTACATCCAGATTAGGTGCTTTAATGTATTTTGAGAATTTCATTTTTTGGAGTTTACGATCTCGATACAGAACTACAGAAGTATTATGGGTGCATCAAAAAACTTTTTTTTAGAAATAAGGTTGGTGTGAAGTTCGCACCCCCTACGTTGTATTTATTGAACTCGACGAAAATTCTTAATATACACGAACAACATATCTATTGGGGAAAACATTAATTTTTTTTAATAGAATTACCTTATAGCATTGAATAAAAAACCACATATTCAATGCTTACAGTAACTAATGGCATAATTTTTCTGTCACATTTTTTACGTAAAAAATAAAAATAACATTTCCAATTAATCAGTGAATAGTGACGAAATCGAACAATTTTTTTGGAACACAACAATGGATGTGGAAGTATTTTGAAAGCCTTTATTTTGGTGCTCATGCATGCATCTCAATGAAAAATTTAATCTCCAAATTTTTTTTGTAGAACCCTTGCAAATTACATCATTTGGAGTGCTTTGGAAATTTCGATGCCGTTCATGCCACAACGATTAAGAGAATTGCGTCTCCCTTATGAATGCCACACTAAGTCAGATCCCATACCACGCGAGTTATTATGCAGACAAGTCTTGCGAAGGTAAGTGATTACAATATTGCAGTTATCAGCACCTCGTGAATTAGTTTTGTACCAGATCCCGCCCACATTGAATATGCTCGAATGCATCTCTCCAAAGTGTGTCGTACGAAAGTCACGAAGCTCTACCATAGTGTTCAAGATGAATTAATCAAAGCGATAAACGAAACTTGCTGGTTGGATGGGGCGTCACGCAATCACTCAATCAATATCTTAAGTGGTTTAAACCCAATAATCGGAATTGTGAGTGATTACTTCAGTGATTCCATATTTGGTAAGGATTCCTGGCCCGGATACCATGGTGTAAGTTGCACCGCAAATTTCAATTTGACATTACCTCTAATCTGCCGTAGAACGTTCCACAAAACGCCACTTTCTTCCAAATGGTTTTAGCGGAAAGCTACCGGTATCAGAATAATCAATTCCATAAAGTAAGAAAAGGTGGAACTCAAGATGCACATGCGCCAGTAACTTCAACATTGCTCAATGTAGATCTCGAAAGTAACACAATAAGTAAACAGCTAACTAATGGCGTTGGTCGCCCTCATTAACAGCCTCAAATTTCAGCTCTTCCAATTGGAATTCTACGTAAGGAAATGTTCAGTGAGGATCGACCCATGTATTTAAATTATGGTTTGCTAGGGAGAGTTATTGCTGTTCAATTGAGCAAAGTAATGATTGAAATGGGCGTTGACATTGATGAAAACTACGTTTGGACTGCAACGGCCAGAGACCAATTCTTTGAGAAAGCCAAATGTTTAGTTGATGCCCCAGGGGAGACTTTGGTGAGTAATACTTTGGAATCTATGGATTGTATCGACGTTTCGTTGCAGAATAACACGCTGGCGAATTTATCGGCCGAGTACTTTGGGACGCAAGTAGCATACTCCGCGTACAAGAAGTGGTCGAAGCAAAACACCAGAGAAACTCTACTTCCCGGACTAAGCTACGACCCACACCAAGTTTTTTGGATATCTTCAATTCACTGCTCCACGCCCACGCTTTTACAAAGTAACAACGACTTCACAAAAGACTTTAATTGCCCGACGAATCCCTCTTCGAAAAAATGTAAAATATTTTAATTGTACACATAGTTACATAAGTTAATTAAAGCTATCCCACGCTTAATTGTCGTTATATTTAATAAACTAGTGCTAAATGAGTTCTTTCAAGCATGCGAACTACCTAAGTGCATTCGCGACATGAAAAAATCCATTTTCGCATCACGAACGAAATCGGAAATAATCCTAATTACGGTAGTTATCGCGTTGACAATCATTACTCTAACGTTAATCATTTTACTGGCGCGCTCAAGAGGTAAGTCAATTACTACACCAACTTTGCTAACGGCAGAATAAGCATCAGATGCCCTGGGGCAGCAAGAGGAGGTGAGGGGTTGCCGAAATCAAACTTGCATCACAGAGGCCCTGGAAATCTTACGTCGGGTTAACGTCGATGTGAATCCTTGCGAAAATTTCCACGCCTTTTCCTGCGGTAACGTCGAGCCACTGTCGGATAAACACTTAAAGTATGGCCCCTTCACCGACATGGTGAAAAACTTCAGGACGCGACTCAAAAAGAAGTTTAGCGAAGAAATTCTCCCATCGGATCATGTTTTGGTTCAAACCGAGAAAAGACTGTTTTCGGCTTGTATGAATGAAACGATGGAGTACGTTTCGTTTAAAACGCTTCGCGATGCCTTAATTTTCGCGGGGGGTTGGCCTGTAGTTGAGGGAAACAAGTGGAACGAAGTCAATTTTGATTGGATTCAAGCGACATTTACGCTAAGACAGATGGGTTATTTACACTCCACCTTCTTACAGTTAGACATAGTTGAAGACCCTAAGAAGAACGACGGATACATATTTCAGGTATTTAAGTTTTACAGGGATCATTCATGTAAATCCTACCTTAGGTTTCCATACCGGCAGTAGATGACGTTTACAGTAAGCACTTCAGCACCGAGGAAACTAATGGCTTTATGGCTGACGTGGCAATTGCCTTTGGCGCTGAAATTCACAGAGCGCTGGGAGAAATGACGCAAGCTCTTGAATTTCTCCTAGACCTGCAATGGGTAAGCGAACTGCTCGTTTGTAAGTTACACGCATCTTGTCTAGATCCGAACAAATATAGAAGAAATCCAAGATGAATACCAAAGGATCACCGTCGATCAACTACAAAAAAAGCACGGGTCACTCGACTGGTTAAACTACATCAATCAAATCACTAGAACAACCCCTAAAATAACCGGCGAGACTTACATTTTATTTCCATCGGAGACTTCCATGGACCAATGGTTAAGCACCGTAATGAAAGCACCCAAACGGTTAGTTGATTAAGCATGTTTGTAATTTATCTGTGAATTTCAGTCTGCAAGCCAATTATCTGATGTGGAGGGTTGTGGAGGACAATTTACCGTTTGTTACGTCGAAGTTGCGAAGTGAAAAAATAAAACCCAAATTTATGTTAGAAGAAGAGCAGACCCGGGCGGAATTTTGCATTGACATTCTTAGGGAAAAGTAAGAAACGTGTTAAAATGACTTGGTGCCAATGCAAATTTAAGCTTTTCCCCGAGCCCTATCGACGTGCTGTACGTACGCGAAATCCTACCACAAGGGAAAGTGGATCAGATTAATCAGCTATTGGGATACTTCAAAGAGGAATTGATGCTTCTATTAGACAACATAACTTGGCTAAATGATGACGAGACGGCGACGGCGCGAGAGAAAATCGAAGAGGTGTCAATTAGTTTTCGGGCACCCGATGAGCATGTGTTTCTGGGAATGAAATATGTAATGTATGTGACGTTTGGTATAATAAACATGGTGTAGTTTTTCAGAACGTATCATCCGGCGACTTTATAACTATGCTCTCACAACTTAAGAAAGATAATCTTGATTACCTATACGGATTATTACGCGAATCTCCCAAAGATACTAAACTGGCATGGTGGAAAATGACGGGGGACTCCTCTTTTCACTTAATGGCAAAGAACGAAATCGGTATAAGAAGTCCGAACCGTACACGTTTCCAATATTTGTTTCAGAGATTTCGCCCACCATTCTCCAAGGTTTCATTTTCAACGAAAATCGCCCGAACTACCTCAACTACGCAACAATGGGAATGGCATTGAAAAACATCTTGTACAAATTACTTGGGGGCTCGACTGAGTGGGCTAATAAGGTTGCATGTAATCTTAAAGAAGGAATTCCAAATTTCGTAGTAAGTCCAACTACCAACTAAGGTGACTAAAGCTCATTTTCTAGCTTTACCATGCCCTTACTCATTTGATATCCGCTAAGGTATCATATTCGGCCTACAAGAGATGGGTTAAAGATCATGGCGAAGAATTGAAACTATATCCGCTGGATTATACGCCTGAACAACTATTCTGGATGTCACCTGGAGAGATATATTGCCATTACACCGACTCCATATTTAATTCAGAATTGCAAAACGGTACTTACAATAATGTTTTGAAGGAGGTACTTAATAACAACCCTCAAATGCTTGAGGATTTCAAGTGTGGATTTTACATTGAAAATAAATGCACACTTTATTAGGACAATGTCATTACTCCTTCAGCTTCCAATGCCAAAAAATGCCAAAACTCGCCCCAATTCCATCTCTACACAAGATTAGCTTTGATATTCGTTATTGTAAAACGACTAGTACGAGCAAAATCAATTAATACTCACTTAACACACATAAGATTACTTACGAATTCAATGCAGGTGTATAGGTAAGTGACCCACATCCTTACTGAAGTTTTAAAATCCACTGTTACTACGAGTAACTTTTATTGTTTCCCACTCGTTTCTCTATTATAAATGTATTTATTGCGCAAAGAAGAAGGCCATAAAATAAGCCATTGTAGGAGGTTCTGACAGATCAGTTTATAAATCTCAAGTATTTTCTTTGATAAATCTGCAACTACCCACTCCTAAAAAGTTCATGATATTTTAGTTTTCAACATTAAGGGTTATGTAATGTACTACACTAAATTCCATATCCGTATTGGGCACTCACAGAAACTTTGTTCAAAGTCAAGGTGCAGTTCTGCACTGTGACTTTAAATAGGGGGTATTGAATATATATCCGCCACCCCATCCCGAATTACGAAATTTATATTTTTGGCGGAATTTATGTTAATTATTTTTTATAACTAAATTTAAGGATCTCCAGATTTTATATTGTCGTCTATTCTTCCATCCGTCCTTGTTCACAATTCTTTCTAGATACGGCAAATTGTTTCGAAATTATCTCGAATTTATCTCAGGTTTGTGGTGACATGAAAGCGAACGCTCAAAAAGGAGACAATAATTATTTATAAGAAAACGTATTTTTTGTTAATGTAAATATTGTTGTGTAAACTACGGCATGCGGACATTATATCTGGCTTCAGCACGTATAATGCCGATCGGCCATTTGGAAATAATTGGATAGAACTTGTTAAAAGTTTATCTCCGGTCGTAGATAATAAGCTTTGTTATTGCTGCGTAAGCTAATTAGTTTCAAGATAAGGACGTGTTATCGCCGAAGTTTAGCACAAGTGCAGATTCTAAGACGACGCGTTATTTTGTAAAGGAAGGAAGGAGGTAGTAAATGAAAAGGTTTTAAACAAGCATACCGGATGTTAATCAAGGCCTTTCGGTCAAGCTTTTTGTTTGTTATTTGTTGCCGGTATCGAAGTTTTTTTGTGTTTTCAGTTATAAAGTTTTGTAATCTAGTAGAGTTAAACTCAAAAGTGTGCTACATTACACGGAGTAAACTGAATGTTATAATCGATTAAAGCGGGAGTTTTGTTCACCATCAAAGAGCCAATACTATAATTGTAGTTATAACGAAATCAGTGTCGTCTAAATCGAGTTTTACGTGAAGTCAAAAAAGCGAGATTCCGAAGCATCATTCATCATTGTTTGATGTGTTAGTGCGTTTGATTGTTGAAAAGTGAATTTACGACCGGATGATAAGAGTTATTGATCTTAAGATAATTACAGCTTTATTTAAATTTAATTCGTTTAATCGATCGCGTGTTGCATGGTGTATGTCATCTGGCCCTGAGTGCCTATATTTCTTTCAGTTTATTTGATTGTTCTGTGTCCAATAAATTTAGTTTCAATAAATGATTAGTTTTGTACTCAATTGAGCCCAAAATATGAGTTAGCGAAGAATTTTCATGTTTCGTAACCATAAGGGGACTACCTGATGTTTAGTTGTTTGGAATATTCTATTGAGTTTACCGAACAACTAAGATGGACCACAATAATTAGGTTTCATTTTCCTTAGTCTGTTGTTTTCTTGCTCGAGGTCACGCCAAGTGCATTTAATTATATCCCTTCTTTTTTCATCCTGGATGGCATCGCATTTTTACGTGGAAAAGCTATTGAAGGAAATCACGTGATATATTGTTACATTGATCTGCATACAAATTAATTGCACCTGAAGACTTGAATTACTGTTACTGATTTGCAAAAGTATTACCTATAGATTACCTTTTGGAATTGCTATTGTGAATTACTCCGACACACGCTAAGGGACGAGACCCACTCCCATACAGATATCTATGATTTTTATTTACGTTACTTGTGTCTTTTGTGCTTTGTAAAGTAGTTTTCTTGATTACATTTGAGTATTTAAGTCGCTCGATTTTTTTTCTTTCATTTATATGCCGCACTATACCCCTTCTTGTTTTTTGTTGCGTTTTAACTGATTGCAGATTAGTGGTAGTAAGCGCCCTTCTGAATTCAGACGGCCGTGACCAGGGTGGTTCAAAGGTAATATTTTAATTTCGCTCGTTCGTATGCATCTTGGGTACCAATTAATATATTTCTTGTGATAGTTATTTAAAAATTATAACTCCATTATTCCCGGGGAAGTATATTTCGATAATAATAATTATTTTCTGACTACGAGTTGATCCCTTTTTTAGCGCAACATAAAGAAGTTGCGGTAACGCTTATATGCTCAATTTTCCGTCGTCTGCCTGTCTGTTCCTATGATATCTTGGCCCCTGGGCCACTTACAGACTCTGGGTTTTCGCTAATTGATAGCTCATACGGTCTATATTTGCCCGCTACTCATAATTTACAGTTGTGTTACGCGACAACACCAACGAGTGGGTTTTGCAACATTTTTTGTAAATTACTTGGGAATTTAAATTTTGATTTTGAGTCAGACTCATATTTCAATTTCCATTTGGAAGGTTTGGAAACCAATTGTTATAGTTCATATTGAAATTGTCATCGATTTTAGTTATTCGTCAACTACAATTATTGTTTATGATCAACCCATTCAATTTCTTTACCCTCTTAGCTTTATCAAGGACAGAATATGGTTTACTTTGTTTCTCCTCAGTAAGTATTTTCTCGCTTTGTAAATTTTCTATTAGACTGGGACTAAGGGGCTAATTAATTATTCATTTTGCGTTGTTAATTAGCTGTAGAAGAGAACGCCTTAATCACCCCGCCCATCTCCACTTTTTCCAGATCTTATTTTCACACAGGGTGCTTAGAAAATCGTGAAATGGGAATTATTATTAAGATCAACGGTGTAAAATTAATGTATGCACTGCTGGTTAAATTGTGAAGCAATATCGTAGCCGTTGCACTTTAAGAAACAGATGGAAAGCCTAGACTCAATCTCTCATACTTCCCCTATGGTGTTTTCACACGAAAATCACGTTCGTGCGCATTTATTTCAAAACGCAGAGCAAACCAAAATAGGTAAAAAAGTTATCATAAAAGTCAGGAAAATGACACATTACTGGCGAGTACCTGAGACTAATCTTACTGTCTGCCAATTATGGGGTAAGGCCATTCCATCACAAAAGTTGCAAGGGGATGCACTTATAATTCCCAAAAACAAACAGAAAGTGCAACAATTAATAGTCTTTCACCATAATTACAAAATTGAAAGTTAAAACACAAAGTGTGATTGAAAAACCATCGTAAGCTGTTACTTTCAAGTAATTCCTGTAGATGGCTTTGTAAAATCTGCTATGCTTACAAATGTTTAACATACAGTGCATCCATTAAAAAACGAATCACCGATTGTAATTTGTATTTTTGATTTAAGAAAAACAATAATGGCAAAAACACGTTACAAGCAATACACCCATAGAGTCGAAATTGGATAGTATGGTTATGTATTAATTTTAAAAAAACGCACAAGTACAAAATAAACAAATTTGACACATTTTACGTTTTCATTGTAAAAAATTTATCTGATGTTCAAATTGGTCTCCACCGGTAGGTACAGGTGCACAGACAGGTGCAAGTCTGTGTTGAAATTGAACATTGGACCTTGGACATTAACAAAATTGTCTGTCTACATTCATGGGTTATTCTGTATCTTGAATGTTATCAGGTGGAGTCTACACTACCTTTTTCAAATGTTCCCACAAAAGGAAATCATGTAACATGTACTTAAGAGGGTTTATTTCTGCATCGAAATGCTTACTGATCTGTCTACCGATGGCACTTCACAAACCTTCAATATTTTTTCCAATCTTCACCAGTTTGAATGTGGGTTCCTCCGGGAATATTAACATCCAAAAGGAAAATGTCCAATGTAGCTTAATCAGCTAAATTCTAATTGCGCCTAAGAGACCTTCTTTCATTAATCCATTAACCATTTATTTGGGATACAGGCCACTTCACCCAAAACGATTATCGAACAATTTTACGTCATCCAGCGTAGCGCTAATTTCTCTCTCCTTGTGCCGATAATTAACAAAAAAGTTTGTCAGCTTCATTAAAGTTTGAGGAAGAATGACGATTTCACCATAGAACTTGACCTAGACCTATCAAATTTAGATTAGGCAAAGCTAGTAAATCAAACTTTACGAAACGCAGTTTTGGAGAGAAAACGACGATTTTGTCACATCCGCCCCAACAATAAGAACTCTCGCAAGCTTAATTAACGCATTGTTATAAACAATTTTGTACTTGGCATTGTAATTAAAAGTGTGACCTAAATTAATGGATTCATGAACAAACTGATACACAAATAAAAGTTAAAAATAGTGAATTTATGTAGCACCTTCAGTTAGACGTTAGCCGTTGTGGTGGCCACAGCGCGATGTATTAAAAAGTCTCTTTTCGCGATTTTTTTTTATACCATGTGATTCAATAGGAGAATGTCCCACATATTGTATGTTAAATATTCGAACCGTTACATTTAAAAAATGCCAGGAAGGTATGAAATTGTTTTAATTATTACGATGTTAAGTTAATTATTCTTTGGCTTGCAGTAGATATAATTACAAAAAAGATGGAAATTGTTGGGAATACAGAACCGGATTGGAAAAAGTACTTATTGCGGCCACACTCACTGCAGTAATCGTCGTTATTATTTTAATTGTGTTAGTGATTTCAATTTCTAAACAAGGTCAGTATGGCATATTTACTCTTTGAACTAGCTAATTAAAAATACACACTCAACTGAGGTAATAAATAAAAATTGATCTAGCTATTCGCGACATTTACAGCTAGTTTTACTGTTTAGTTTTATGGAACTGGCGACTACGCGTGCGATTAATTTTAAAAACAATTTCTGCCGCCATTTATCAATCAGAAGTATAAACTAAAATTTGGCAAAATTTTCCAATGCATAGGTAGCTCGTAAACTTGAAAGTTTAATGTCAAACTATTATTATACAATTTTATTCAAGTGATAATTTGAGAATGTTGAATCATGAAATTTAGAAATAAAAAATTCTCTTGAACAAATGGAAAAAGATATTTTTCTCAGTTCTCACGATTAACATTCTTTATTTTTTTTAAATTAGTCCGGAATTTCTCTTTGAAGAAATAAGCTATTAAGAAGAATACCTGGATTACTGTTATTATGTTCATTATCACCTCGGTCAATCGCCATTACAGAATTTAACTTATACGTCGATGTTATGGCGTAATGAATATTTTAAATTTTAGCATGTAGCCAGAGTTTAAAAGGTTTTTTGAAAATATAGTTGTTTGCACCAAACACGATCTTTACGTATATTAACCAATTTGGTGACGTATGGTCATGTTTGGTGCCACCGACACACGAAAGGAAAGGATTTTGTCAAAAAAGACTTATGTCGTATTCCTATGGGCGGGATAGCCCAGAAGTCGCCGGCTTGGGTCGAGCCATCAATTTGTCGGATAGGTATGGGTCGATCGGCCGGGCCGACAAGTCATTCGGGCTAAGCTGAAAACCGAACCAAAAGAGGTTTTCGAAAAAAATCTGTACAGAAAAAGCCACCATTATTGCATTTTTTGCATAATTTAGGTTTTAGATAATTTATACACTGCATTGGTTTCCGTTTTTCGCAATTTTATTTTTTGAATTGGGCAAAATAAAGATTATTATTAGATATTTACGAATATATGGATATACGGAGTCACAAATATCAAGAATTACCAGAACTAGATGAAAAGTTAAATTAGAGATCCTTCAAAACCATGAGATTTAAATGATTGAATAAAAGTCACGAATCCGATTAGATTAGCGGTTCAGATTGGAGTCGGGCTTTCGGGCCGGGTTCTAAAACAAAGACGTCGGGTGCAGATGGCCCGGAAACTCAGCCCCAGCCAGTTAATGCATATTTGTTATTATAAGATGTCTGAATTTTTAGAGACAAATTAGCTAGTCAAAATTTGCTTAATTAATTGCTTAATTTGCATACTCTACAATTTTTTTCTTTTTTTTGCGCAAAAACTTAAACAACGTGACTTGGATATGGTATTTTATTGCCTACTTAATCATAGAACATAATTTAATAGCGCTGACACCCGCCAAAAGTAATATAAAGCATTGTCGCGAGTCGCGTTCCGTGTTAGTTTTAAAAAAGCGAGTCTTCCTTATTATATTACACAGACTGTTTTCATCCCATAAACAGCCTTAAAATTGAGAAGGTTCTCAGTAGGGAAGTGGGGTGAAAAAACAGTGCAACAGGAGGAAAAATTTATTGTTTCATAGCGAACAAGAGGATATAGCTGGTCTTTGCAAAAAGACTGCTTTTACTGCGGCGAGGCTGCGGAGAATGGAGCACGAAAAACGGAAATCAGTAGAAAGGAGGACCTCCAAGTAAAATAATGACAAATGGTATACAGGGAGTCGAATGCAAAACAAGGAAGATGAAATCAAAACGACTTTTAAAGTTTTGGAGCCGCCAATATATTAGCTATATAAGCTGCTGACGTGCTCGCCACGTACCAAGATCCTGATTTTTATGAAACAATGTTTCCGGTTATTTCAACCCCGCTGAATCCGATTCTGGCTCTTTCCAAGTATCATAATGGACCGTAAGGGAGATATTCAAGATGATATCCAATATGGCGGTTTTTGGACCACCCTAAAATTTTTACCGTTCAAAGGTCTGGACGTTTTTCGAGTCAAGGAACAGGAACAGGTAAAAATGAGGCCGGAAGTGAAAAACCGCGATTTCTCATATTTCGACCAAAATATAGTACCTACTAAAAATTCCTGATATTTCTACATTTTCATGAATGGTCTGAATTTTAAAATTTTGGTATGCGGACATAGGTTTTGGGGTCAAGGAACACAATGGAATGGAGAAAAATGAGATCGGATATAGTAGAAACGCGATTTCTTAGATTTATACCGAAATGACGCCAAATATCTGAATTTTTGAAGAATAAAAGCGATTATAGTATTAAAGTCCAAGCGATGAAATAGAATGGCACATATTCGCAGATGTTATTCCAAGAGTCTATGTGGTTTATATTATAAGAACTTAGCCAGCGGAGTATTTAGTTTTATTGTCTCTAAACATAGAGCAGCTCATTTGAATAAGAAAAATGAAAAATTTCTCACTTTACCGAAGTCGTAAATCACTGCAACTCTTTGTGCTGCGTGATTATGCAATTATTTACTACATAACATTAACCTGAAAGGTAAAAGATGTGATTCTATGTTCTGATTCCAAGATAACGCTTTATTGGATTCAAGGAGTAGATAATTTTGCCGCTATTTCGGTCTAAATATGACAAATCGCGGTTTTTCACTTCCGGCTTCATTTTTGATCCCTTCCATCGTGTTCCCTGACCCCAAAAACGTCGGTTCAAACCCTTGAACTGTAAAAATCGAGAATTTTAGACGGGGAATACCCCAGGGTGGTCCGCCATCTTGAATATCGCCCTTATGATCCATTTTCAGACTTGGCAACAGACAGAATCCGATTCAGCTGGATCGAAATAGGGGAAAACCACTCAATTGTTACACGAAATGCTTCTAGCATTTGGGTTTTCTTAAAAGTAGCCCTGGCCATCAGTGGTGATCCGCTTAGGAGGGTTCCACTTGCTAATATCCTTCATTGGATACATCATGAATGTCTAAAAAAGAAACAATGTAGGGTATGCAAATTAATTAATTATGGAAATTTTGACTGGCTAACTTCTTTCTAAAAATTCAGGCAGTTTATTATAATAATAAATATGCATTAAAAATCCTTTGCAACAAAGTCCAGATCGCATCTCTAGCTTGATTAGGAGCGTAGAATTGACCTAACGCACAGGGCACATTTTTGGTACAAAATGTGGTTTGGAGCTAAGGGCTATAATATTACTCAACCCATGAAAAATTCCGCTTGTCAGAAATGTTGGGACGGTCAAATCTGTTAAAAACTATACTAGTTATAATATTTCAAAAAAATAGTAACGGTTGATTATGACAGAAACGATGAACTAAAGTAACAGACCCTTGGAAACCAGATATTGATCATGTGCCACCAATTAACAACCTATTTTATTGGGTAATTTGATCATTTTTAACTACTTACTACACCCTGCGATAGATTTATATAAAACGGTTTAGCTTAACGAGAGGTTTAATTTCAAGACCTCCATTTTCAAAACTTTTAAACTACTACCTGTATCTGAGCTTTATCCAAATTGTTCTAAGAGGGGTGTATATCAAACAAATAATATTATTAATTTTAAATTGCCGACGCAAACTACCTTGTTAAAATAACCGCCATTTTTACGGTTAAAAATAGGAATATCTAAATAAACGGAAAAACTGAAATGAGGTTGCACGGACATGGGGAATTTTTTGACGAAATTCTTTCATCTACACCCAAGTAAAAACTTCAGTGGTATGATCTTAGTTCAGGCACCAATAATCAAACTACCTCTTCTTTCACAACATCGAAACAACTACAATTGGGAGGTTATTGAAATCACCCCAAATTTCGGTTTTGAGATTTCACCGGATCTTTACGTTTCAAGGTCTCAGGAGTCCAAAAGGTTGTTTTAAAAAAAAATCTGTGTATGATTCTTGTAAACAAGGTTCACCCGAGACTACTCGACCGGTTAAAATTTGAAACAAGTGGTATCGCGAGCTGAAAAGCTTTTGGAAGCAATTCGAAAATGGCAAATGCTTTTTTGGCAATAAAATCGATATTTATTGAATTAGGAATAATTTGGCTGACATTTTGATTTATTTTATGAAGCCAATACAAACTCTTATAATACACGCGACTTGAACGAATTCTTAAATGAATCGTAAATAAGTAGTAACAGTAAACCTTAAATTACCCAGTCAAATTTAAGAACTTACACTGAAACAACAATTTAAGGTCATTATGTCCTACAATGGTAGCGTTTACATTTGCTTATTTATTTTGCAACTTTCATGAACTACACTCAGTGCTATCAACCCTTTTAACGACTCACTACAATTTATTTCTAAAATGGTCAACATTTTGAATTTACTTTAAGATTAAGAATGATCACAGGTTCTTTTTAAATAATTGTTTGTTCAACAAACGCATGGGCCAGGTCAAATACACTAAATAAACGCCAATTCCAAACATGTTCAATAGTAAGAGACTGAGATCAGAACTTTTCAATTATGATTAGTGTATAATTAAACACGTACAGTTTGAAATAGCCCCAATATGGCGGTCCAGTCAGTTTTATTTTTTAGACTGATCTTTAAAAGTCAAACTGCAGACAAAATTTACAGTTGTAATTTATGCTTAATTGGACAAAGACCAATTGCAATGCAATAACAGTAACGTTAATTTACGGTCCCCGAATTGTTGTGCAAAAATTATTAAAATTCAAGTTTATTTAGCGAACTGTTTATTTGTGTACCCAGGGACGACCAAATCGTTATGCACCGGAAAACCTTGACTTACTCACATGGTTAATTAAATATTCGAACTAACACTTTCAAAGACACCGGAACATTTGTAAGATCATAATTAGTTTTTTCCGTTTAAAGTCACGTCACGAATTCGTCCGATTTTACTATCGAAAATTTGTCTATTGTAAAAATAGGCCAATAGACGGTGATGTTCTAGGTATGAGTAAATTACGTTACGTGGTGTTATTGTATCATGAAAAATATGCAAAAACCTACTTATACAGGGTCAGTTTTTTTTGTAATGATAATATGCAGTATAAAACCTTGGTGGACTAGATACTTTGCAAAAACTATTTTTTTGTACTTCTATTATTGTTCATTTTAACGGAAACTAATGGCGTTATGATTAAAAAGGCTCTTTTTCAACTATTAGTATTCTAACCATATACTACATGCTACAGAGTGTCTAACGATGAGTTGAGTCCATTATTATATGGGAAAAAATACGATTAAATTCCTGAAAATTTGTAGAAGTGACACGTATCGTCACTAGTTAATACGGCACGTCAGAATATGACTCATCAGGTATGCCGAACACATCCCTGAGTTGTGAAACGTGTGTTACGCTGAAAATTTGATGTTTTTAAACTGGCCAAGCGTTGGTAGTATGAAGTGTCAGCTTGTATACAGGGTGTCTATCATGTATGGAATATAGTATACATTTTATTTCCGATAATAAGGCAGCATTCAGTTGTTTTTGTTTCGGAAAACGAATGAGTAACGAAAAACCATTGAATTTTTTTAAATGGCAGTGCACCTGTTTATTAGGGTCATTTGATAGCGATTTTTTTTCTCAATTCGATGATGTAACATGTTAATACCCTAATATAAGAAAATTTTTCAAAAAAATTACGATCGCATCAATAACACTAATCTACATATCCTACATCAAAACAAAACAAAGAGAAACGATACATTTTGAAGCTGAATCCTTGATAACCAAAATTTTCAAATCGGGAGTGAAAAGATACACAAAAAATACATTTTTAAACTGCGATCCTGAAATGAAATTTGAAACTTATTCTTTAACGCTGGAAGATTCCTCTCCTCTCCTGTAAAAACCAAAAAATATATTGATGTACCAAAAAGACCTTCAAATTCATTCGAATAACGCATGTGATAGGTATAACATAATCTCTCGACCCCGTATATAGTTCGCATACGATGTCGTGTACAGTATTCAAAAAATGATTGCTACTTAGGTCTGGGTAATATTGATAATCTTCATAGGCAGAGGGGCACACTTTATACAGTGTAGTGTCCACTATAGGATTTTGGGGTGCAATTCTTAGTTCATTTTTTGAATTATCTGAACTTCCACTTTTTTATCTGAATGCTATCAATCAATTTTTATTTAAATAGTTCGCGGCTAGCATGAAATGGTAGCAAAATCAAGTAGTGAAAAAAAAATGATAGAGAAACGCTTCATTTCCCTTTAATTTCTACTTGCATCTTTGAATTAATAAAATAAAGAAATTTTTATTAATTGAAAAGAAAATAAATTTTCAAGAAATATACTTCCTGGCCAACGCCTTATTTAAACACAAATTGTACATAATCATGAAAATATTTGCAATAATTCATTTACACAAAAATTGGAGTAAAATGCTATACATACATATGTACTTAAAGTGCTACATTGAAAGTGATCGTATAAATTTGCCCTGTACCTAATTTGCTTTATCAAACAGACTAAAGAACACTTATAAGGCGTCGGCTAGATAGGAGGTGGCTAAACGGGTACTGATTTAAACTCTCCCTCAAATTGTAGACTCCGGGTAAAACTTCGAAAATAGCAAAACATTGGGGGTTGTTATCCGGTTCTTATTGACCAGGAAACTTTCTTTACTGTTTTCAATTTTTTAATTAGCACTGAATTTAGCGAATACAGTGACAGATAACCCTACTTAGGATACTAGGATCTTTTACCAAAAGGGAAAGTTTCTAAGTCATATAACTTAATTTGCAATTAATGCAAAAATGTTCTTTCGGGAAATATTAAATTTTTTACCGTACTTGAATACACTGGGACATTGAGCCCATTCTTCGTTCAAAACTGAATAATTGTCTCTTTACCGCACGTTTTCAACACTATACGACGGTCGAATGAAGTTTTTAAATTCGAACGTGCTACTCTTATTTTTCATTGACTTAAACCCCGCCCACTCAAAACTAAAGGCAAAAATAACTAAATAAAAAGTAATATGTCCTCGTACAAAAATCTCTCATTTAGTACACGAATTTAACCGAACTGCGTTACGTACTTTTAACACCGGAACTGAAACTTATTTAAATAGCCAAAAATAATAATTATGCGTGCATTTGGGAAGACACCTCAAAAGCTTGACATATTTAGTGCTTTCAAAATCTACTTTACTTATTTTTTTTCGGGAAAAATTCAAAAATTTAAATCTAAACCTAAATGCTCCCGTTACACAACCTAAGCCCACCCTTAGGTACGTGACATGCTTAGTAAATGAAATCCTGGTAAGTTAAGCCAAAGCGAAAATTAATACTAAAGTTAGATGTTGTTAGAGAATTAAAAAAATCTCAAAAACATTTCATTTGGCCATTTTGTTTTTATATCATCATAATAATGAAACTATAAAGCCCTCTTCCAAGATTCCAATGCTACGTTCAGCAAGTAAGCCACCCTGTATAGTAGGTACATACATATGTCTAACAATCGCCCTTTGAGAGCGATCGGATTTTGTCAAAAATAAATTATACGATGATCAATGGGCTATCTTTTGTTGCTAAACACAAAAATGGATTTTTTAAGTCTTAAATTTCAGCAAAATTATTTTTGATAATAAATAAAGCACGTTGATCTTCATATATTTATGTAGTTTTTATCATCATTTTTGTTATTATATGATTGGCAGATTTTTGCATATTTATTGCTCCACTCCAGCATACTACGCGTCTATTGCTAATTTTAAGTGAATTTTGATGAGGATACCATATGGTGCACGTTTCACTTGATGTGTTTTTTGATTTTGAAAAACCGATCTATTCCATATTTTAGTTGAGACACCCAGCATTTTTTGAAAAAGGCAAACTTATCCAATAAGCTAATAAATTTGTACACGTGAAAAGCATTTGGCCGTTTTCCTAGACAAATTGGGGTATAGGTATCATCTAATCTTAAAACAAAAATTTTGACGTGTGTGGCTTACTGATGATACGAAATGGATTAATACTGCAATTTCTAGTCGGTATAATAATTCCGTTTTCCGCAGTTTAATCACGTAGGTAATTAGAAACCCACATGTACTAATAATAGACCCCCAAATATGTAAAACAATGCATGTTTGAAATGGTGCAAATTTACTCAACATGTAAACCTCAAAGTAGAAACGAACGATATTATTAGAATACCTAGTTTACTTTTAGACCACTTCTTGAAATCTTGATGTGGTCACCAAAAAATTTAGTACATGGAGCGATTAAATCCTTTATCAATCAGGAGCGTGCGCGATTATTTGAAAATTTTGGGGAGGAGCGTTTAAATATTCTAAACATAGATATGAGGTCGAATGTAATAAAGGATTTCATTAGGTGCAACTAAAAATATTTATGCATTTCAGATAAATCCCATACAACCGGCTACGCGATTGCACCAGAACCGATAATTTATGCCAACAAGATTGCGGACATCGAGCAGAGCATCGATCCCACAGTAGATCCGTGCGAGGATTTTTACAAATTTGCGTGCGGAAATTTATTAAAAAGGGCCAACGGCGATGAAAACCTCGGCACCTTTTTTGTCATACAAGAAAATTCAAGGCGACAGATCGATGAAATATACAACGAATCCATCTGGAGGGAGGAGCATAGAATAGTCGGACTTGCCAAAAAAATGTATAAACACTGTATGAATGAATCAGCTGTAGAAAGAGAAGGTTTGCAAACGGTTACGGACGTATTGGACAAACTAGGAGGGTGGCCCGTTCTCAAAGGAGTCATTTGGGATGAATCCAACTTTTCTTGGTTACAAACGCAGTACCTGCTTAGAGAACTGGGATATTTTTACTCCCAATTTTTAACTGTCACTGTTGAAACCGATCCAAAAAATGATCAGAAATTTATTCTTCAGGTAAGATGACATCTTAATTTGTAAGAACAAATGTGATGCTATTTCAGGTGTCGTTTCCGGCATTCGACGACTTTGGTGCCGAATTATTTGAGAAACAGAGATTTATGGTCGATGTGGCGCTCGCTTTTGGCGCAGACGAAGGAAGAGCTTTAATTGACATCGCGAAAGTTTTAGAATTTATGCTGGATATAAAAAGGGTCAGTTTACAAGATTAAGCATAAAAAAAAGTTGCCAAAGCAATATTCGTTTGGTGAGAGATTTGTGCAAAAAGGAGCGAAAATAGTTTTGGCATAACGCAAGATTGAAAGTAATGTATTTTTTTTTTACATTCTCAAATCATGCATTACTTTGGCATAGATTCAGGTAAACAAAGCAGACGGTTCCGGAACAATTTAAGTTTAAATTTACGAGAATTTACCTTTAAATTCAAGCAGCTGAAGACACCTGCTCTGATGTGTCCTTGTTAAATGTTTGCGTTTAATGAAGACACTAATTGGGAAGTTTAGTTTACGATTAAAAAGATGGCATAAATTAGAATAAAACCTAAATATTTGCAGAATAGTGTTATTTATAATGCACCCGGACGTAAACGTTGGAAGATGCCTCTAAATATACCCTTTCTATGTACAATTACGTGATATACTATACAGGGTGCCCATTATGTATGACTGCATATAGTATATATTTCGGTAAATATCGACTATATACAACATTTTGTATATGAAAGTTGATTAACATTATATTTCCCATAATAAGGTGGTATTTATTCCATTGTTTTTATTTCACAAAACAAAATGAATAACGAAAAACAATTGAATTTTTTTAAATAGCAATGACACTTTCATTTGATAGAGATTTTTTTCTCTTTTCAATAACGCAATAGGTCACCAGAAGAAATTGATTCTTATTTCAAGTTTTTTGTGATAGGTTAAGCCACTGCCTTGCCGTAGGGTAGATGACAAATTTTTTAAAACCGGTTATAACTGTTTGTATACCTCTATACTATAACTTTAAAATATCTTATTTCGGCAAAATAAAACATATTGTAACGTGATTTATAAATTCGGGTTCGATTTATATCAATATTTATTAAACAAAACTAAAACACTATAAAACCTGTACAATTTATATCGACTATTTATATCACACACTTCGCAATTTATATTTCCGCGCTCGATGTTTCATCCGTACTCGATCTCTTTCGGTAGTAAAACTGCCGCGATGTTCGGTCCGCAACCATTTATACACGCAAGCAATGTAAGTCCAGAACATTCGCGTAATTACCAGATACGTGCAAACATTCCCACTATCGCGCGCCTAGAAAATTCCAGAGCGCCAAAGGCGACGTCATGTCTGGAGCGTTTCCGTTACACTATTATTGCAAATTTATGCAATTTAAATTGTAGCTTTTTATTCTAGCGCCAAAACGCTGTTTGTGTCACGGCGGTGTTTGTGACGGCACAGTCCTGACAGTTATAAACACATAACCCCAGCGTAAATGGTTTAAAAGATTTCGTCATGAATTATTATAACTACTATAAGTGGTGCCCTACGATGGGGTACACTTTGTCGTGGTGGTAGGGCTAAGTAGTCACATTTTTCTGTGGCGCAGCTAAGTATTCCAGGCGGGTGATTGCTAGACTCCATGGATAAAGTCTGATCCGCATCCGTGTTGTTTTTTAAGTTGTTTTTCCAAAAAAAGTTTTTTTAAGAACTACTTTATAAATTTAGACCCTGATTTAGCCCTTTACCTACAAAATGTGCGTAATGTAAAAAAATTGCGCTTACGTACAGAAAACTCTTAAGCTCACTGAATCATCTGCATGTGATGATGACCTTAAATAACTACATTTCTTGTAAAAAATCTAAGCTTAACTTAAAAATCTACAAAACTTATATGGCAGTTTTAATATTTCTAAATTCTGATGAGCAAAAATTTTTGTTTGGTGCGAGAAATATTCCAACATCATTACATCCATTTTTGGCAGATTTGCTGCTATCAGCTTTCGTATACCCACTTTCCATTCTTATCTGGTTTAAAAAACTTAACTTAAGGATAATATAATCACTATAAAATGAAACAAGCACTAAATTAAAAATTGTACATAAACTTTATAAACGCACAGAAGATAGCTACTTAAACAGCCGATTAGGATAATGACGTCACGCGCTCTGATTGGCGTTTGATATCACGTGACAAATGTCATTATTTTTTTATATTATTTTTACTAAAATATAATAGTTTCTCGTGTACATTACCAAATAAAGTTATTTTGTGACACCCTGGTACCTTACTATATCTTATGAAACATTTTGAACATTCATTGCGATGAAAACCATTTTATTGCTAATTTCGTTTTGTCTTCAACGATTAATAAAAAACGTACACGTTCATTTGTTTTATTTTTTTCAATAAGGGTACTAACATGTTATATCATCGAAAAGAGAAAAAAAATCTCTATCAAATAAGCCTAATGAAAAGGTGCACTGCCTTTTAAAAAGTTCAATTGTTTTTCATTAGTCATTTGTTTTCTGAAATGAAAACAACTGAATGCTACCTTATTATGGGAAATAAAATGTTAAACTATTTTCATATCGAAAATTTTTTTTTATACAGTCGATATTTACCGTGATATACTATATTCCATACATAATGGGCACCCTGTATATGCTATGATGTTATTTGGTAAAACTGATAGATAGACAGTCCTTTTGTGGTGAAGGGGGGAGGGGGCATTTCAAATAGGACATCCGTTACTCGTTACATTTTTGCTACTAGCTTCCTAGCTCAGCTCGGACCCAAAAGCGCTCTTCGCCGTTTAACGTCTTCGCGCGCTTTTTTTATACTTTTTTTTGCGCGATCGGTCATTTCTGACTATTTACCATGTGTGTTTCCATGACAGTAAGTGGAATTTACCAGTTGCTATGATTACGACGACGCCAAAATTACTTACCGATCTGAAAACAGAACAGCAAAAATACTTACCGACGCTTTTTTAAAAACAATCAGTTCAATGTTAACAGTCTTACATTACATTTAATCTTTAATTTAATCTTCGACATACCATTCGGGCACCGGCAAATACCTGGCTCATAAAGTCATAAAGGAAGTGCAAAGCTAGCAAACTACATCAGACACATGCACAATTTTATGAAATTATTAATTTCAATTTTGACAAATAAACTGGTTACCTAGTGATGTACACCATACCACTTCGATCATTTCGATTTATTCTGCTCGTTAATTTCTTAGTGCATATTTATATTGGTTGGATAATTTTAATTTAGATCGCGCAAAAAATGTTATAAGCACGTCGAACGTTAAGGGTTACCGTTCTCAGACAATAATTGGAGTCGTCGCTCCGCTCCTCCTCCAAACAATTGTCTTCGAACGGTAAAAATCCCTTACCGTTCTCCATACTTAATATACTATTTTTTATAAGAAAACGTAGCATAATTTTCTTCTACAAAAGAAAAGTCTTTCGAATAATTTAATAAAAATGTTAGGTTGCTTGAAACAGAAAGTTCGATACCGTTGCGAGGCTCCAAATTTTTTTTTCAAAAATTCGACTCGTTATTTTTCATTTCAGTATGCCTAATATACATATCCAAAATTTGAACAAAATCCATCGAGCCGTTACCTCAGAAAATTGCCAACATACGCACGTACGAACGTCCAAAAAACGGTGATCGCAATAGCCACCTAGCTTGCCCTAGGAAGGTAAAAGTTATTGGAATCCTGCCAAATTTCAACCATAGTCCCATTGTGTGTTGCACCAAAGGGATGAAAAAGTTAGAACTAAAGTTGGAAAATAGTAAATGTGCTCTTAAATTTGGTCCCCTTTCAATACAATATTGGCATGTTCGAGGATTTCTTTGTTAATCTTCTATTAGATTGGTTAAAAAGAGCATCCTGATCAATTTTACCGGTGTGAAAAGAGGGGCCAATACTAGCGGCCAAAATTTCCGAATATACCCGAAGCCAAAATAGACCTTGCCACCCAATTTTTTTTGCTTTTCTTCATTTTAATCTAAATACTGAAACAATTCTATTTATAATTACATAGAAATCTCTCATCAAGTAGAAATACGAGTCAATAGGAGTTGAACAAACCACCCTCTCATCATACCACTAAAACGGCACATACTATCACGATCAAATTTTCGTAGATGGTTAATGATAGTTCGAGAATAAATAATTGGAAAGTAATGATTTGTATGGATTCCTAATTTTTTCCTTAAAAAAATCTAAAATAATTAGGGGAGGAATCACTACGGATTTAGCGGTATAAATCACATACTGCATCGCGAAAGTCATCACCCGGTATAAGAATAGTTCTAACAGTAACTGTGGGCTTTTAGTACTGACAACATAAAGCCGCTTTACATTAGGCAATTTTAGTGCAATGCAAGGCTTGTGCTATGCAATCTAAAATTGCCTTGCATTGCTTATTACGGTTTTACATTTATGCAATTGTGTTGCAATGCAACTTTTGTGCAAGTTCAGAAAAGTGTTGCAGTATTGACAACATATTTTTCAAAAATTGAAACTTTTCAGTTTGTTTACAAAGAAGGTTATTCTTGAAACTTAATAAAATTAATACATTCTTGTTATGGTAGTCTTTAGATCTAATATTGTACAAACAAGGGTATTGTTCATAAAGAAGGATCAGCTCAGTGGTAACCGCAGTATTCCATGGGCTTTTTTTGCTAAAATATAAATAACATTATGAGAAAGCACCATCAAATAGATATAAATACACATACCTGTTGTTATTAGCCATTGTAACACAATTACAAGTTACATTTGTTACTTAACGAATAAATAAAGTTTTTAGGTTATTAAAAATAACACACGCGAAACCAAATAAATTGTGGTATTGACAAAATTACTAGAAAAGTTACTAGAACTTGCGCCAAACTTGCAAGTGAAATAGAACTTTCTCTATTTATTTTTCTTGCACCTGAATTGCGTATGAACATGCGCAGTAACGTATCTCTAACTTGCATTGCTCTTGCATTGCACCAAAATTGCCTAATGTAAAGCGGCTTAAAAGTCACATAACTGGTTTGGGAATTCTGCTGCAGGACTGTGTTTGTTAAACAGCTAACGTGAATTATGCGCTTACGCGCTGTACACATATACAGAGTGGCTAATAAAGATGGAACCAAAGCGCTGGTTGTGAAAACGGTTGGCGATATCGGTTTGAAAGTTTTAGGACTTAAATACGATGTGTTTGTGCATATTCTAGCATGAAAAGAAAATTTTTGTCCAGTATGGTTTTTTGACACGGCCGCCATTTTGTTTTTTTTTAATGGCAACATAGGTCTTGCAACGTTTCGTTGGAAAGCTTATGCTTGATGAGAGGGTTTTCTATTTAATTGTAAATAGAATTGTTTCAGTATTCAGAGGAAAATGAATAAAAGCACAAAAAATTGCGTGGCAAGGTCTAGTTTCGCTTCGGGTATGTTCGGAAATTTTGGCCGCTAGTATTGGCCGTTCTTTTCACACCGGTAACAATTTTTATGAAAGCGGAAACTTTGGAAACGTATTACGATCAAATTTAATTTGTAGGAAGTCTTTCTCCGCGAAAACGACGAACCGCCACAACGTGTATCGTTATCCGAAATTCAAAAAAGGTACGAATTTATCAACTGGATCGAATTTATGCATAATATTATAGGACCTTCGATACGAATTTCCATTCACGATCACATTCTTTTCCCTCCTCTTAACACGTTAAAGAAATGGTACGATTTTATTCAAAATACACCAAAGCGGTAAGCGCAAATGATTAAATCAAACATATTTAATAATTGCTATTAAAGCATTCAAGCAAACTACATGATTTGGAAGGTGCTGGAAAAGATCATTCCAAACGTGCCCAAATTACAGAAACTCCAATTTAAAAGCTCGCCGAAGATTAGTCGATCGAGCTACTGTATTGATGAAGTTAGAAAGCATTTCACCCCAAATCCCATTGACGTAATGTACGTTAGAAGACGTTTGCCTCTTAAAAGACGCGATATGATCAAGAAAATTATCGCGGATATGAAGGCGCAACTAAGAATGTTGGTCGAACGAACCCCATGGATCAGTACTCCCGATAAATACAAAATAATTACTCGCATCAATGGATCAACTGAAATTATCGGCGCGCCTAGCGATTTATTCGAAGATGAAATATTTGACGACATGAGCACTGATTGGGTACTTCTTAGATTTTCAAGAGCATTAAAATAATGTCAGTTTGCAGACAGTTCCCAAGAACGACTCTTACCTAGAATTACTATCGCATATTGAGAGAAGTAGACAAACGTGGCTCTACAATCAGATGTATTATCGAAAAAGTGAGGTCGAGATCGCCAAGTGGAAGATAACGACATCTTCTGGTATTGGAGATTACTTATACGACAAAAACGTGTTCAGTAAGTTGAAGGTCTTGGTTTCGCTTGTATTTATTCGCATTTTAGTATTGCCGGCAACGTTATTCCAAAAGGTTGTATTTGATGAAGAGAAGCCGTTATATTTCAACTACGGAAGCATGGGTACGCTTATGGCGCACCATTTCCTACAGCTACTAGGAGAGTCGTCCAGTTTCTTTGATCACGATGGAAACATAATCGAGCCCCCTTCCAATTTGTCCACAACGCTTCTATTTCGCAAACCAGACTGCTTAGTACGACAGCTCAATACGAACGTGTCAAAATTTATGGTAAGCAAAACCTGCCCATTAACTATAAACGATCCTAAAATTTTAGCTGGATTCGCTCCTTCCGCAAGCTTTAGGCTTGCAACTGTCGTATTCGGCATTTCGTAAAAACCACGCGGCAACGATGGACAGTTCGATAGAACCTTACAGTTCGGAACAACTATTTTGGATATCGGCAGCTTCGTACTTCTGCCAACCTTCCAATGACGATTTGAATGATAAGGATTTATTTTCTTTACTGGTATCAGTTCCTATGCGTAACAACCAACACTTTGGTAGAGACTTTAATTGTACATCGGGCACGAGAATGAATCCAAAGGAAAGATGTGATTTATTTGTATAATTTCCCTAATAAATTGTTTGTTAAACCACAGTGTACTTGGTACAATTTTACAACTGCTCAATTACCGTGGCAACCGATGAACATCTGGGAACTATGCGATGTGTAGCGTTCTTGTTTCCTTAACAATTTAAATTATAAATTAGTAATCTAGGGACTTTAATGTATGTGATATTCTTACGCCATCTAGGTATTCCATTTGTAAACCCGTTCAATTAAGAGGTTCTTTGTTTCACCGCCAGAGGTCGGGCAGATGTTTTCCGTGACACTACCCCTTCTTTAATTTTGGCTTGCGCAATCCCTGTACTTGTTCCTTTTCAGAGAAGGTTTTGCCTTCATGTTGGTTACGTGCACATTTTTGTCGATACGCCGTTACTTGACTTATTGTCTACCTATAAAAGAGTTTTTGTAGTGGATATCACCATATTTCTTTGGAGTGTTTCTCTCTATTTCTGATGTGTTGTAGCTGCTCCATTTAATACTATGTATTTTTTAGGTCTTCCCTCATGTTTCGCATTGTTTCTCCTAATTTTATCTATATACTACTACGACAACATCCGTTGTGAAATATTTATATACGCATGTGTTGATATGACTCGATCGAAACTTTTCCGTTGCATCCATTTTACGATTACAAGTTTCCACAAATTTTACAAACTGGCATCACTACTGGACCGAAAGGAGATGCCCATCATGGACGTAGTGGTGACGCGCTCATTTGGAATCTTTTTATAATCTGCCACGTCTTCGCTGTTGGATGGATCTTGAATAAGCATCTCATGGATCTCGCCACTAATGTTGAGGCTCTGGAAGTTTACCCGGCTCTGAAGTCCTGCGTTAATTTAATAAGCTAAACACGCTAGTTTTACAGACAGATCGTTAACTTGTTCTCCTACTACACAATTGCTTTCCGTTTCCACGTGTAAATTAAAAATTGTCATATTTTCCAGTGCCGTAGAGGTTCAATTTTGTTATATGCGTGTGTTCTTACCTAATAAAAAGACTAATTTCGTTTTTATTGGCTTCTTTAATAGGGGAGTCCTTTATGCCCCACCCTGTATTAGGCATATGACTACTTTGATTATCATTTTGAGTAAGCGACTGTACAAAAGGGGAATCTAGATTATTTGTTTCATAGAGTATTTGTGAACCAGGAAAAGTGCGTGTTGTAAACGATTCCCATATTATCTTTTTGAGGTTTCGGAACAAAAAAATTTCCGCGGATATTTCTGTTTTCCATCATGACTGCTGTTGATGATGTTTAAATAGTGAACATTGTTATAAATTTAATGCTCTAAAAAGCGTAGGAATGCTTTTGCCGTAGGACTTAATTAAAAAAAGTTAATGATCAAAAACCGGAGGAAGGACCAAAAATTTTTCCGCCTCCTCTTTTCGTACAGGGTCCTCGAGATCCAAATGAAAAGAGAGAAAATGTTAATTAACCATCCCTGAACAACGTCCCAAAGTTTCATTATCTTCCGACCTTTTTAGAGGAATTTTTCGATGGGCGATGGGTTTTGTGTATCTGTCCGTCTAACTCGAGAACGAAAAGAGTCAGCGATGTCAAACTTTCGCCAATCTATTTCTACGAGTTCACAGATTACTGCAATTAAATATGAGCCGAACTAAAAGTTTGGTGTCCCAATGCGAGCTGAGTGGCAAAAAATTCCGCTTAATATTGAAAATCGTATGCGATTCTTCGTATCTTGTTCCACCCAACCTCACTTTTTTCTACCTGTCGCGGTCGACTGGACTAATAAGAAAGAAAAAATAAATTTTGGAAACTGAAACTGGGGAAGAATATAGACGATTTTACTTAAAAATTGCGATTAAGATCACAAGTCGATTACGGCAAAGGGGAGGTCGATAAAGTTGGCACCCTCACTTTGCCTAAATCAAGTAAAAATATGCCTATAATTTAGGACTAATTAAAGACTAAAGTTACAAAATTAGAATTTGTACCCGCTTAGTCCTGCCTTTTATTAGTTGCATCAAAAACTATGAATTATGGACTAATTGGTACCCAAATTAGATTATCATTGTTTAAACAATCTTATTACTAAAAAAGGGAAATTCTCATAGTTAATAAAAAGAAATGGAACATGATTATAAATTACAGACAAATTTTTACCCACAAAATTAGAACGATTCTAAGGTAGGGGTGCTAACTAGACATCAAGCACCGCGACTTTTTCCGATTGAAATTTTATTAGCCGCATCAAGAAGTATGAATTAAAGACTAATTTGTACCCAAGTTTTCATTGTTTAAACAATTTATACATTATTTAAACATTTTTTTTTTACTAAAAAAGAGACATTCTCAGAATTAATAAAAAGAAATGGAACGTATAAATTAAAGACTAATTTGTACCCACAAAATTAAAATTTGAACCCTCATAGTTCTGCCGAAAAACCGATTCTAAGGTGGGGGTGGTAACTAGACATCAAGTTAGCCACCCGACTTTTTCCAATTGACATTTTATTAGTCGCATCAAAAACTATGAATTAAAGACTAATTTGTATCCAAATTACATTTTTATTGTTTAAACTATTTTATTACTAAAAAAGGGAGTTAATAAAAAGAAATGGAACATAAATTAGAGACTAATTTGAACCCACAAAATTAGAATTTGTACCCGCTTCGTTCTGCCGGGAAACAAACTCTAAGGTAGGGGTGCTAACTAGACATCACCCCCACTTTTTCTGATTGAAATTGTATTAGCCGCATCAAAAATTATGAATTAAAGACTAATCTGTGCCCAAGTTTTTTCTACTAAAAAAGGGAAATTCTCAGAGTTAATAAAAAGAAATGGAACATAAATTAAAGACAACATTAGAATTTGTACCCCCTTAGTTCCGCCCGAAAAGAAGGTAATAAGCATTTAAAGGCCACCTGGCATAAATTCAAAATATACGCTATATATAGGTAATAGAAGAAGATTCAAGTCCTTAGAAAAATTCTCCGCAATCTTGCATTTTCTCTTGGAGGTACCTTCCGTCGACACCCCATTTTGGAGATATTCACACTAAGTACCCTCTCCACCGACACTCAGTTCTGCAGATATTGGCACTGAATGTTTGATCATCACTAGTAGATGTCTCCGGCAGTCGTTCCCCTTGCCCTTTATCACGATTTGGCATCACTAATGGATATATTTCTTTCAAACGTACCAATCGCTCTTTGTGAGTACTCTCCTCCGACATTTTGCTCTGGAGATATTAGAACGAATCACGTTGAAGAGTCGAGGGGAACAGTGGTTGGTAGAAACTAATTCCTTTCGTTGAGACATTTCATTATAATACCATGAAAGATAATAAATTGTAATAGTTAAGTCATATTTATCACTAACAATTTATAATACGAGAGAGAGCTACTTCACTTCACTTCGAATCGATATTCGAACTGACCCGAAAGTTCGAAACACAATTCGATTTGCTTATATAGCAAACGCCGGTCTTTTCGAAAGTTCTCGAACGCTTCCGAATGCTCCCGAATGTTCTCGAACAAACCAACACGCCATATTTCCCGGAAAAAATGAGTCACATCCGAGTGCCTTTCTTATTGCTGATGAATCTTTTATGGACTCTCGATGTCTATCGGGATTTCTAGAATATTCCCAATGCACATAAACAAGGATAATAAAAATGATAAAAACAGTATTTAACATTAAACACATTAAAGCTCTTCAAGATTATAGGCTCATTTTTCTATTGAAAGTTGTCTTACTTTTTTTTGAACTGGAACAGTACCATAAACAGTCTTATGCCCCGCATAATAGACTGTCATTTCATTATGCCCTCAGACGTCCTGTCAAATATATTGATAGAGTTATAATGTAAATCTATTACAAATAAATACTATTTAAAAAAAACTATTCATATTCGGGCGGCCAATAGCCTACGTCGCTGAAAAACAATACCGACCTTTCTTATATTCTTAAGCCGGGTTTACTAATTTTCAAAGCGATCGGGCGTTTTTAAACTGCTGTGCACATGGACAGACAGACAAACGGACAGCAGAGTGCATTCTTTCGACCGCGATATTCCCTCCCAACTTGCGCCCTGGCTCAGATGACCTCCTAACAATATAATTTGTTTATAAAAAAATTGTTTAAGCAATGAAAATCGAATTAATCTTTAATTCATAGTTTTTGATGCGACTAATAACTTTCAATCGGACAAAGTGGGGTGTTAACTTGATTTTAGAATCGGTTTTCCGGCGGAACCAAGCGGGTACAAATTCTAATTTTTTGATTACAAATTAGTCTTTAATTAGTACCTAAATTATAGGCATATTTTCCTTCATTTAGGCAAAGTGGGGATGCCAACTTTATCCACCTGCAAAGGAGTGGCGTTATACTTTAATCTCTTTAGGTACAGTTACGGACAAAATTAATCATCTTCGTGTGATTAACTTTAGCAGGAAGAACAAGTCTCCGGTGGTTTAATTCCACCTTCTTCGTAATACGCAAGATTGTTTTAGTGTAATACTGATTGGCGACTATTATGCAAAGGGTATAGAAACAACACATTGATAACAACGAATTTTAAAATTAGAAAGTTTATCGGTGACGTCCAAGTGACACGTAATAGCTTCAAATAAAAAGATGATTTTTCCAGAAAACCCTGATCTGGTTTATCTCGCACTCAACAAATATCAAAATTTACGCGAACCTTATAAATACTATACATACAATGGAATGTGATAATCGACTTACGTCATTCCATGTTAGAAACTTACAGAGATCTCGATGCGCTCTTCTAGTAATACATTGTCCAAACGAAGTCAAAAAGTTCTTCACTTACCTAAAACAAAAAGGACGTATAAGTACCAAAAAAACAATATGTTGCAGTAAATAGATTTAAAATCATTGACCACAAGTTTATCAGTAGAATTTAAGAGAATCAATGTAAACAACACAATCAAGTGAAGATAACAAAATTACGTTATAAGCGACCAGAATACCAGTACTTGTTTGTCAGTGAACAGAAAAATTGAAGGAGATGCCCTCCTTCTGGTAAAAGTACGAATTGAGAAAGTCCGCAGATTAATTTTTTTCATATTCAAGGGTTCGTAGTATCACATGTAGAGATTGGTGGTTTGACAAAAGCTTTCTGGAGAAATGTCTTATCATAGCGTTAGTGGTGTGTTTGCTTACTATACTAATATTATCCTCAGTAGGAAAATTTAACACATGTAAGCATTGCCCGCAAATTGAAAGTGTATCGATGCAATCGAGGATGCCATGCATTGTAGATGAAAAGGGGTGTCAATCTTCAGAATGCCTGAAAGAAGCCTCACGAATGCTTTCGTATATTGATCCAAACGTAAATCCGTGCGACCAGTTTTACGAGTTCACATGCGGAAACTTCCTCAAAACTGCAGGAGAGGAAGAAAGGATGAGCTTGGATGAGTATAAAAAAGCTCAACTGATCGACACTTACAAAGAGAGAATCAAGCGAGATGATCACAGGATGGTTCAATCTGCCAAAAAGCTATTTCAAGCGTGCACGAATGAGGTCGATATCGAACAGGACGGAATTAAGACGTTAAAAGAAATTATAAATCTTGTCGGAGGTTGGCCAGTGCTGGAGGGAGAAAATTGGAATGAAAAAAATTATGATTGGAAAGAGGCCACGTACAAATTGCGCGAGCGGGGTTACGAGTACTCTATTTTTCTTGAGTTGTCCCTCGTACTTTTCCCTGAGAAAAGTGATAAATTCATATATCAGGTAGGTCAGCTAAGGTAAAAGACAAAATTAAATTCCCACAATTGAAATTCTGCGTTTCGAACGGCACCAAGATTAAGTTTGACAGAATAATCCATTCTAGGTGTCCTCTCCTGATACATTCGATTACCGATACGGTCTTTTCGAGTTAGATAAAGTAGAGTTGATGGCCGATGTTGTAGAGTTCTTTAACAAAGGAAACCGAACTGCAATAAAAGAGGAAATGGAGCAAGTACACTTATTTTGGAAAACGCTGAGAGATGTAAGTTTCAAGAGCTAAGGAGCTTTTCCATTTTGGTTTTTTTTTTCAGAAAGATCATCCCTTTTACATGAGAACTTTTAAGCAATACACCATTGAAGAGTACTCAAAATTCACAGGTCCCTTCGATTGGTTGGACTTTATAAACAGGATAGCAGGTCCTACTGCAACCATTACGAAAACAACGTACGTTCTGTTTCCTGACCCACAAAATCTAACTTCTTGGTTAGACATTATAGATAAGACCTCTAAGCGGTATGTTCGTTCAGCAAACACGTTCCATAAAATTTGAATTTTAGAATTCAAGCGAATTATATGATGTGGAAGGTGGTGGAGTCGTCGATTCCTTACCTAAATCGAGAACTGAGATACGGTAAAGGAGGGCTTAGACGGAGAGAAACTCACGAAGACTTTTGCTTGAGAGAGGCAGAGAAAAGGTTCTATCCAAGTCCAATTAGCGTAATAAACGATCGTCGCCACATAACAAAAGAAAAGCGGAACATTGTAATTGGTCTATTGGAAAGTATGCGAAGTGAGTTTATAAAAATCATTCAAAACACAGCGTGGATTCCCGAAGATGACCGTAGTAACACAACGAAGAGAATTGCCGATATGAAATTCTTAGTGGCGCAACCTATCGAATACTTTACCGACACCATTTTAGACGACTTAGACGTGGACATGGTAATCCTAACCAAAGAAAAATCTCTCACTAACAACATTTCAGGTAACAGTCAAGAACGAGTCCTTCCTTGAATTAATCGCTCAGGCCAATAGAAATAGTCACTCTTGGGTCTACAGCCAAATTAAACAACCTTTAGCTGAATCGTACTTATGGAAGTTGCATATCCGGTACGATAATGGCCAACCTGGTTACAGCACACTGGACAACAGTTTATGTGAGTCATATCTACACATAAAACTATTGCTATGTCTCTCTCTAGTTATTCCAGGAGTAGCGATTCAAGACTTGTTGTTTCACGAAAGGAGACCACGTTATGTCAACTACGGATCCATGGCCGCATTGCTCGGTTACCACGTAAGCAGCGTTTTTGGTAAATTTTTGACCAAACCATCTGAAAGTGGAGGCTGGCAATCCAAAACCAAAAATGAGTACAGTGAAAGAGAAAAATGTATATCCGAGTCCATTATCCGATATCAAAAAGAAGTGCAAACCGAAGACCCACTGGAAGACTTCATCAAGAAATTTGTTGCAGTGAACGTAAACAGAAATGTGTATTACACCAAAGAACAGTTAGGTCTACAGCTCGCGTACTCCGCATACGACTCTTGGGTAAAAAATAACGGGGACGAACTTAAACTTATCGGTTTAGACTACACCTCCAGGCAACTATTTTGGATATCTGCAGGAATAACGTTTTGCACATCGAAGGTTACTAGGGATGTCGGTAAAGTTAAACCCGAAGTGGTTCTAATGTCGATAGCCAACAATCCCAACTTTGCGTTAGACTTTAAATGTCCAGAGGCATCTCATATGAATCCTGCCAATAAGTGCAAAATATTTAGCTAGTTGGACATAACTAACATAACATAACTGTGTTAATAAATAAAATCTTAGTCAATTATTACAGATAAACCGTTTCCATAAAAGTAAGTCTATACAACCGAAAACAAAACTTACACGTGTCTTTTGCTTTCCCGTAAGGGTATGTCAAATAACTTTTAAAATAACATTGACAGGATTTCATGTTTTTCACTTCATTTGTAGGTATTGTAGACATGAAAAAGTAGTTGACAGATACTATGCAATTGATTTGCTTTAATATAATTTATCGCCATTGAGTTTATGCAACTTTGCTATTAACAATATGCCATTACTAGAAAAAAAAAACTGAATTCATTAGAGCGGAAAAAATCACAGAGCATAATTACTATTTAAACAAGTAAACAAAAGAGAAAATAAAGGTAATAAAGCTTCTGTAATTACTTAACCTCTGTATTATTTTTAACGATTTTTAAGCATGAAAAAAATGTGCTATTGTTTGCGTTTTGTCCGTTCGTCTCTCCGGATCGGCATGTACACTGTGAGTCAACGATTGCTAGGAGTGTGTATTGCCCTAAGGAAATATTTGTGCTTTTGTATGATGATAATTGATATGGTATATTTTGAATTATACGGAGTGTGATCACAGTAACATTTTTTAAATCTATTTGCTTCCACACGAAATTCTACGTTTTTTTTAAATATACAAAGTGAACATTTTGTCTGGAACACTGGACATATTTTCAAAAGAAATTCTTTATGGTATCCAAAATTTAAAAAATTGGCACCCATTCTATGTACTATAAATTTGTGATCAATGGCGTACTTCTGCGTGGTGAAGGGGACATATTTTTTTAAAAGCAACTACTAGTTTTCGTTACAAATTCTTAAAAACACCCAAATTAAAGAAAATAGTTGTGATAATTAATTTTATAATTTCACTACCTTGCGTTGAAAAAAAAACCTTATTCTTTTGATAGATATAGCAAAACAATTATTTATGTATCAAAAATCATTATAAGCAAATCGACATGCTTAAAAATTAAGTGGCCTGCGTCTACAGAACTAATAGGGGTCACTTGTTTTAATGGAAATCGCTATTTTTCGTTATATGAGGAACTGTGAAAGGACCTTTTTTTAAACATGACCACACATATATGAATAATATAATTACAGTCAGCTGATGAACATGCTCTCTGTCGAATATTGAAAAGTTTATTTATAGGGTATTTTCTATTTAGATCTACAGTTACAAAATTTCATATTTTTATATCTCAGATTTTTTTTAATTGAACACACTATATATTTTTGTGTTATTTTACTTATTCAATAACAGTTATCTTTCAAAGCACTAGCAGTGCCCGAAAAAAATATTAGTAAACGTATAGATGTGTTTATTGTAGGTCATATTTTTGAACGTTCATTAAACATTATTAAACATTTATGTTTTAGTCTATAAAATTGTGTTTTTTGTTTTTATTTGTTTTTTTATAATTCGTATTTTCTTTGAAACTATAATTTTTTGGTTGGTTTTACGTATACTAAGAAAGATGGAAAATTTCAGGTATAATTAGAATTTGGAACCAAATACAAGGTGTTCCATTTAAAAACTGGATCTTTATAGTCCCTTAGTGTATGAGTGTATTTTTCAAATATGCAAAATATCCTACCATATTATCATAGACAAATCCTTCCTTAAGACCATAATAGCACTCCGCACAATCGCTGACTCACCCTGTTCAAAGTGCAATCGTACACAATTTATGTAAAGGGATGAGACAAGTGTAATTAAATTTTATTTCCAAAAATTAACTTCTCGCCATAAAATTAATTCTGATTCACGTTTCCCAACAAAATCAATTCAAATCACCTCTTGATCGAAATGCACGTGCACATCGAAAATGCATAAAATTCACATCGAGCTAACGCGTTTCCACGTTTTCTTAACGAAATTGGTCAAAAAATCAGCGCCTCTTTGTCATCACGTGTACTAATCATACTTAGGGGCAAACAATTGTTTAGATATTTCATAGTTCAAGTTAGTTTGCACAATTGCTATGAACTTCCCATTTAAAAAATCCCAAAGTCAATGTTTTAAAAACTGAAATAGTTGAATTTTCTACCTATATGGCTTTGCTAACCCTTTTACGCTTTTGAACGGTGATGTTTTTAATGTACCAATTTCGTTAGGAAAAATATGAACCATTCTGCTTATAACTCAAAGGGTTCATCGTGTAATAAATATTACTCCCTGCTCTTCCACTCAATCCATACTGATTGTTTAAATGAACATAAATTGCTACTATGCGATCAAAAATGAGTTGCTGTCGAGTCACCTTTGGAATTTTTGTTTACATGGAAAATCGTACTTAACTTGAACTTTCAAAGGCGACTCGACAGCAACTCATTTTTGATCGCCCGTTATAAACCTAGTATGTATGAGTCATGCACCAAGGAAAAAATAAACCATAAAACATGAACTTTAGCAACAGTAACAACTAGGATTGTAGCACACTACCTGAGCTTCTAGCATGATTGACTTGCACATACGTTTAAAGTGTTTTCCATTTTCCAATTTTAGAGATTGTGGGAGGGTATTATACATTTGAAGATGTTAAAAGTGAAACATCTGACGAAAAAAGATATAATGTGTGATGATACTGATTGTTCTAGAAAGTTTCTGTTTACTACATAATCAAATTGAGGCAAGTTTAACGGCTTAGTAGCAGTTCCAGCATCTATGCCGAAGTGATTATTAGTGAAGTTCGCTCTCGTATGTGATAAATTTACATGTTACATGTAAATTTTAGTGATATATAATAAATTAACTGTTACAACTCTATTTTTAAGGATTGTTATTAACTCAATAAATAAATAAATCAGGTAATTAAATTTACGTCCTATTACGAAACAAGTGTTAAAATATAAAATCTTAACTCGTTTAGCGCATATCTAACGTTCAAGCAATGGGCCTGGTTTCATTTTACAGGCGCCCAGATCCTGATGCTGTTAATAGAGCTTTGATTTACTTCATTCTTGAACAAAACGCCTTTTTTGGGCTTACGTTCAATTCAAGTATTTAAGGCTGAATATATTAGATCCCACAAAGCTACAAACAGCAAAAATATCAAAACTTTGATTCTTTTGTTAAACATAATTTGTTCGATTTTGTGTGCCGATATTTTTGGGACTTGGGAATTTGCTTAGCTGCATGGAGTCCTCTGTTAGCTGGAGATGTTGGATACCGAGTCACCATTTGGTGGCCATTTCTGATTCGCATACCCGATTTCACGCGCCTCACCCCGGTATGACCCATAGCGAACCTGACCTAACTCGCATCCCCTATTTAGGATTTGGACCCAATTCGACCCAATCTCCAACACAAAATCAATGCAATAGCTTAGTATAACTGAATGTATTTAAAAAGTATTTATTCATTTTCATGAATTATTCCTAGTAAGTGAGCCAAAAGTACAGATAAATGTCTTACGCACGATAGGTATAATAAACTGTAGAATCAGATATCACGTCCGTAAACAGGTCATATTGGTTATAAAATAAAGCAATTTGATTTCTCTAAACTAGTCACGCGTATTTGATAATGGGCCCTAAAACGCAAACATTGTAATTTATATACAGTAAGAGTATCGCGAAGGTAAGGTAATTTTAAATAACGACGACACTAATATATTTTTTCTATTTCGGTGTCACAATGATGATTTTAGTCGTTTTTTTTTGGTAACTCATCTCTTAAGTTGGCAGTTACTAGTTAGTACAAGTAGGTACTTCGTTGGGTACTTCCATGTTTGAACTTCAAAATGTCAGTCTTACTACGCTGCCAACCTAAAACTTAACGGCATAAAAAGTGTTCCCAACATAAAACATGTTAGTTCTAATGTTCCCTATAGTTTCTGATAATGATTTTTTTAATTAAATTAAAGCACCGAAATAGAAAAAATAGTATGAAAAACGCGTGTTACAATGCTTTGTTGTAATACTCCTATCTTGCGGACACTCGTGGCTACGTTTCGCGTCGCCACTCGTGCCACAAGATAGTCGTATTACAATAGGTCGCATTGTAACACTTGTCTTTCAATATACTATTGTCCAATGTCTCAAACAATATTTCAACTACTACTACCACTACTAAATTAACATCTACCAATTGCATTAAAAAAAAATGTTGTATGAAATTAATTACAACCAGAGCCGTTGCTGAAATGACAAGACTAAGTGCTTGTTTACAATGAACGTATACGTAGGAAATAAAACTTAAAAATTTCGCAAAGTTGAACTGTATAGAAACATAGGAAGGTGTTTATAATGAACGTAACTTTTACGTACGTATACGTGAGCGATATGTAAGTCTTGCGCATAGTCGCAAAAGTTGAAAATGGTTCAAAGTTACGTACTGTCAAAGATCATCTTTGGTTTATTGTAAACACCGAAGTAAATTTACGGAAACGATACGAATATGTACGAGTTACGGTTTATGAAATATTTACGTATGCGCGAAAGCTACCAAAAAGGAGATGACAAATTCGTTGAAGAAAAGGTATCCGACGGAAAGATCCAGTTTACAGTCCGTATCTTTTCACTAAGCATTGTAACAGCCAGAAATAGCCGCCCCTAATTTGAAATTGAATGTTCTTAAAGATAGACATCTCTAGGCAAATTAAAGCCGATGGTATTGCATGATTGTTAATCGCTACTTTAGTTTCAAGATAGAAAAGCTCCCAGTGAATGTGATCAATATGAATATTTGTGTGTTTAATAAATAATTTTGCCGTATATTGTTATTAGATTTGAGTTTCGCGCCTCTACAAAAAGTCCTACAAAAACACCACTCCAATGGCATTGGGAATCTTAAGAAACCCGATGTGAAATACACAGTGAGCGCCAGGGAAACATTAGAGCTCCTCCTGAGCACTCACTCTCCAGGCTCATATGAAGTAAAGGCTTTTCTACAAGAAGTAGAGCTCGTCATTTCTACATGAGACCAAAAGTAAATAAATCCTTCTTTTCAAAATCTTTTTTATATCTAGGTCCAAAATGTTTTAATCAATTACCTGAAGAGATCAAAAAGAGTAACACTCTCAAAGTTTTTAGTTACCGCCTGAAAAACTGGCTCAGCGAAGTTACAGATACAGAGGTTTTAATTTCCGTACCTTCATAAATGCGTTCATTACCGAGCAAACGTGTATAATGATATTATTATAAGTGCAGGTTTAACATTAGTTTCAGTTTTAGAAGTATTTGTACACTTATTACCTATATGTGCCTATATAAAACTTATCATTAGTAGCACAGAACCATCGAGAGGGCGCGCTGCAGTAGCCGCTACCTTCTCAAAGTAATGCAACAAGGAAGAACTAGTAAGCTGTAGTACTAATGGACTTGTTTTATTTATAACCATCATGTACTGGAGAAGATGGTTATTATTATTATTCCAGAAAATTCCACAAAAATTGTATTCATCATAAATGGGATAAATATATTATTATTTATTATTTTATTTATTTATTTTCTTCAAAAGATAGAGGTAGAACGCCAGGTAAAGTCTCACTCCAGAGTTAAAAGCGAAGCCTTCAAACCCTTTAAGGCGCCTGGTGGAGACGTATCTCTCTAGTACTCTTCCAAAAGTTTGTT